CGACTAATTGATATCTTGATGATGATTACAGGGTATTATAATTGTGTTCGTCCGTCCTTCCCTCCGGCCGGCCCTGTTGTTTACAGTATGATTCGCTCCTGATGATGCTGAATCCTAACGCCGAAAAAGAAAATGACCTCGCAATTCTTTAAACTATAATTTTAAGAAGTTAATTTTTCGAAAGCGGGTCACACATGCTAGATGAAGCGGTGATAATTGACACTCACCATTTCCTGTACACAAACGCATTATCAATTCTTATTATAAAGATGAGCTGCAAATTAAATACGTCATGGTAATTACCAGAGTCGTGCCTGGGGTTATAGCGGGTGTCATCCATGGCTGCCACTGGCACCTCAACACTCTCTTACACCTTATTAAGATATATTAAATTTTTCAATAACCTGCAGCTGTACAATAACACGCATGTCTACAGTGACATGCAGGTGTACAATAACCTGCAGCTGTACAATAACACGCATGTCTACAGTGACATGCAGGTGTTGATATTGAAACAGTTTATTATTAGAGTCAGAAAAACACAGATACAGAGTCGATAAAAATCATAATATTAATAACATGGCTGAGCTAGTGAGAGCCTGAGCTCTCTTGTAGGTACCTGATATATACTGTGCATTTATCTCAAGGAAGTATTTTGTAACATTTAATATCATTTAAGTGTACATAACCTGCAGGTGTATAGTAACCTGTAGGTATACAATAACCTAAAGGTGTACAATAACCTGAAAGTGTACATTAACTGTAATAATCTGCATTTGTATAATAACCTAAGGTGTACCCGAGGGAGTACAGTACAGTTCTCCTGGGGTGCACAAAATAACGTGAAAAAAGATGTTAATGCTTATGAGAAGGACACGAGTAACTGTGCAACATTATTTATGTAGTACTGAGGCTCTGCACTGTTCTCATTGATGTTTTGTTTACACATAAGTCAATATTGTTTTCCTTCTTCAGATTTATCAGTACAACCGCAGATGGAGGTATAATGCGCAGGTACGGTAATCCCCCTTTGGAGACATTGCCAAAAGGTGTTGCCTATAACTAGGTAGCTATGAGTGAGATTGTCGGCGGAAAAGGAGAGAGAGAGTGAGTATAAGGTCCAGTAGCCCCAGGGTACCAATCCAGGACGTTCGTGGTTGTGGTGGTGGTGACAGTGTTGTGTTGCTCGAGGCGGGATGGGGTGTTGCGTGGTGGGGCGGGGTATGGCTGTGGTGGGGTAGGGTCACTTGGGGGAGGCGCTGAGGCTTTCACCAGGTTTCCTGTGTGTGTTTCCCCGTGACACAGGCGCCGCCTCATGCTGCTCTTGCCACCGTCGCTTTCAGTCTGTTTTTATTGCTCCGGCACCATCTGTTTGTCTGTCCATATGTCCTTTGTGTGTGTTGTTGATGTGTTCATATATCTATATGTCTGCCTCTGTGTGTTTATCTAGGCCTCTCGTTTTAAGCCTATACTGTATCTATCAGTCTAGGTCTCCGTTCCTTTCTCTGTCTCTGTCGGTCAATATATATATATATATATATATATATATATATATATATATATATATATATATATATATATATATATATATATATATATATCTTGACTGTTCGTAATAGAATCTCCATATTTGAGTGAGGCATCACCTCGGAACTCTCATTGATAGATGAGTTTACAGGAATTTGAAGGCATTGACGTGTGTGCGTGTTGCAAGATGAGTCACTCTGTATCGTCTTTTTTCAGTGTTCGTGGTTAAATCTTTAATTTGCACTATAACATTATGTAAATCACCCAGTTTGCAGAGTTCAGTGACTTATTCTGGTACGAGTCGCAATCATAGGACTGTAAGTATTCATAATAATCTAGCACTTACAGCTGGTATAGTCTGCCTTAAGATGGACCATATCCTATCGTCTCTGTGGTTAGTGTTTTCAGCAGCAGAGTGGTTATGGGATAAAATTTATAAGGCTCACAACTATTTTGTATTTCGTCAAGGACACTCATTGCTTATATCTCCCTGTGTTAGTGTGTGTGTGGTTTGTTTTGTTTGTCTTGTGTTTGTTGCTTTATTTGCTTGATTGTGCTGTGTGTTATTTTGCTTGTGCGAGTCATTTCTTATTTGTCGTGAGTTTTGTTCCCTTGTGTGTGTTTGTGTCATTCTTCTTTGGGTTTTATTTTATTGTGTATGTTTGTTGTTGTTATGTGTGTTAAGATGTTGTTTTGTGTTTCTATTTTATTGTGTTTTGTCCCATAAGTTTCCCTTTTTCATCTGATTGTCTGTTAACCTGTCTTTTTCTAAATGTTTTCATATTATATGGGATACAGTTAAGGATTGCCCAAGTGGAGGGTCGACCTGTTCCTCTTGCAGTTTAATGGTCGACACGCTGTCATTTCAGTTACTGTATTTTGCTCGTATGATATTGTTTTGTATTTTGGTGTGCCATCTCAACAATTCATGTTTTACCAAACTTTTGTTTGTTTAGCTTGAGTGTGTGTATTTTTGTTTGTAATCAGTGTGTGTCACATTCATGCACAGTATATTCTTGTTACTTAAAGGATTACTGTACGGGTCTGACTAATTACCCAAATGTAGCCGCAATGAAGTCAAATAATGGTCCTACATGAATAAATCGGACTGCCAATCACTTCTCGACTAGTATTTGGTGTCACAAAGTAAAAAAAAAATTGGAAAACGTAATTTAATCTGAGTTAATAGATCGCGTGCATGTACCGAGGGAGCGAGTAATTACCCAAATGTACCCAAATGTGGCCACAATGAAGTCAAATAATGGTCCTACATGAATAAATCGGACTGCCAATCACTTCTCGACTGGTATTTGGTGTCACGAAGTCACAAAAAATTGGTAAACTTAATTTAATCTGAGTTAATAGATCGAGAGCATGTACCTAACCTAACCTCGACTAGTATTTGGTGTCACGAAGTCAAAAAAAATTGGTAAACTTAATTTAATATGAGTTAATAGATCGAGTGCATGTACCTAACCTAACCTAACCTAACACAACTCAGATTAAATTAAGTTTACCAATTTTTTGTGACTGACACCAAATAATAATCGAGCAGTGATTCACAGCCCGATTTACGCTTGTAGGACCATCATTTGACTTCATTGCGGCTACATTTGGGTAATTACTCGCTCCCTCTGTACATGCACGCGATCTATTAACTCAGATTAAAGTAAGTTTTCCAATTTTTTGTGACTTTGTGACACCAAATACTAGTCGAGAAGTGATTAGCAGTCCGATTTATTCATGTAGGACCATTATTTGACTTCATTGCGGCTACATTTTGCTACATTGGGTACATTTGGGTAATTAGTCGGACCGTTACTGTACAGTATGTTATGTTTTGACATGTGCCTTCATTACCCCAAAGATATGCCAGCCTATTTTGTCTTTTGATTTCGACTAAATAGTTTTATTTAATCAACCCCCCAAAAAATCAAATTCTGTAGTCCATGAATGTGTAGTTAAAATTGCTCTTGAGTGCTGAACAGGAATGTGTTAAGTTCGTGAGTATACTGTATTGGTTTTTATAAAATTCAATTTAGGTCCTGCACTTTTACATAAAGTATTTGATTTGCATTAGAACAGCATACCAAGGAGCCCCAAGTCTCATATGGAAAATTTGTTTGCAGCCAGTTTGACCACATCCAAGTTTGCGATGAGCAACCAGCTAGGTTGATAGGGTAAGATGAGGCTTTTTGAATACAAACTTGATGTAGCAAATACCTTACGTGAGACACTTTTTAAGACTGGGAAACATTACCTGGCACCCAGCAGTCACACAAATATAATACTACATAAAATGTTTGAAACAATTCCAGTTTGAACTCACAGAGTTTTTCTGAGCTTTAGGGTAAGATTTTTATTATTTTTTTCAATCATATTCTGTTTAAGGAAATGAGTTCAGTACTGTATTGTCAGTCACATTTTGATGAGGTAAATATTGGTGGGACATGTTTGTAGCTCCAGGACCTCCAGAATGATGATATCCTGGCACTCACAAAACTGCAGTCACTAATGGATTGAAATGAGTAACGAGTAGCTTTCATAATGCTTCCGGTGTTCACTGTACTCACTTATTTAAAGAACAAGGACCGTTCAGAGCTCCCAAATATTTTCACAACGGTACTGGTGAAAGTAGCTGTTACGTGCTAAATTTACTCGGTAAGCCAAATCTCTTCAAAAGTGCATTCTGTATTTACACTCAAATTTTGCCTTAGTCTTTGTATTGTTTAAAAGTGAGAAATTTTTCTATCCTTAAGAATATATTTATTTAGCATCAATATAATACAGTATTTGTTACTACCTAGAAGGCCATTGATTTTTATTCTATATATACCTGTACAGTACCAGTGCTTATCTGGTTTCTTCTACTTTTCTGAGTGCCCAATTATATGTTTTATTCTTTTGAATTACAATTAATTTAGTACCTATACACAGTATACTGTACAGTGGCTGAGTAATGTTTTCTTGCTAGCAAAGTAGCTAAATACAGGGGCTGATCCAGGAATATCAAAGGGGGGTTCAAGAAGTTGTGGGTGAGGGAACATGGCGAGTGCAGCCCCTGCCCCCCAAAAAATATATATATTTTTTTAATCTGAATAATGTCTTGGGCATTTGGAGACCATTTTGAAGCCATGTGCACTTGATATTAGGAGACATTCTGAGGTCAATGGTAATTACTTTTTACTAAACAAAAATGCCTGAGTACAGTATAATACAGTACTGGAATTTTCTATGAAAATGGGGGGGGGGGGGTCCGGACCCCACCTGGATCCACCCCTGAGTTACAGATACTACTAGATAGTAGTTTTATAAAGGTTGCTGACCCCTTGATTACTCCATCAGCTGCTGTGAAGATCTCAGAATTACTCTACTGTATAGATAATAGCTTTGGATTATATGACAACAGCACTAGTATTTGTTGAAGCCATAATACTCACATTGCATATTTTATTTTAATTTTTTCTCAACAGAGTTTGTCAGGACACACAACTCCCGTGGAGTGTGTACGATTTGGTGGCTCTGAAGATCTGGTGTGTGCTGGATCACTAAGTGGTGCACTCAAGATATGGGACCTGGAGGCTACCAAGATTGTCCGTACACTCACAGGTCACAAGGCAAACATTCGCTGTATAGACTTCCACCCTTATGGAGACTTCATTGGTACTGGCTCCCTCGATACTAATATTAAGGTTAGTGTTGTAACAAACAATAAGACTACTTACATAGTTTTGGCAAACGTGACCAAGTTGGACTGTACCATAAGTGAAGTTGCTGAAAAGTAAGTCAAACAATGAACTCTAGGTTTGATATCCAGTCAGCTGTCCAGCCATTTCTTAATGACAAAAAATCCAGTAAGGTATGTATAAAATAATCTAGTGGTTTTCAAATTGTATAGCCTTTATATAATCTTATTTCATATGGTTAATTGGGAAATACCTGTACTGTATTTTTTCTTGAAAAATGTACACCTTTTAAAGTACAAATAGTACAGTATTATCTTTATTACAGTACAGTAATATTATTATTATTAGCATTACATTATTTTTACAGTGATTTATTAATGTTCATGTTATTCCATAAGAAGGTTTTCACTGCCATCCCAGATTCTGTACTCCAGACAAATGTCACAGGATATATTCTGTTACAGGGTCACACACATTGAATTATTGTATAATACGTATAGCAAAAATACAGTAATTCCTCTGGGAAATCATCATATTGTGCCAGGTGCCAATTTAAGATACATCTGTTAGCTTGTATAAACTGCAGACCTACAAATATTTGCCTCAATCAATCAATCTGTCAGAGTAATGTCCCCACATCTGAGGGTTGGCAACCACATTCCTCCACTCTAAAAACTCATTGGCATGATTTTTACCAAACCTTCAGTGTGTTGAATATCTTTGGGGACCCAGTTTTTAATTTCATTCATCCATCCCAGTCTCTGCCTTCCCCTGGCCCTCTTACCCTTACCGGTAACTTTTTTCTTTTTTTCTTTTTTCTTTTTTTTGCTGATCTTAGTACTGTACTTCTTGATTTGTTTTCCTATCAGTGTAGCTTATTATTAGCATTTACCCCTAACACCACATTTCAAAGGCCTCCAACCACTTACTGGTGGGTGTCTGCTGAAAGTGTCTATGCTTCTGACCCATACACCAGTTCTTGCCATACAAAACTTTTCCAGCCTTTTCCTCAAAATTAAGTTAATACTGTATCCCTTTTCATTAGTTCTTTTAGAGTATTTAATGCTGTTTTACTTGCCCTAATCTTGTTTTGATTTCTTCTGTGCATCTACCATCACAGCTAATGTTACTTCCCAAATACTGTACACAAAATTGTCCACTTGTTTAAGTTCTGTGTTGCTTAGTTCTGCTATAAAAATGATTTAGGTACAGTATACTGTACTGTTCTGTTCTGTTCTGTTCTGTTCTGTTCTGTTCTGTTCTGTTCTGTACTGTATTGTACATGTTTCACATATTATTAAACATAATCAACTTATTTGGACTCATTTTGCAGTTATGGGACATTCGGCGGAAAGGCTGTATTTTCACTTACAAAGGCCACAACCTTACTGTCAACAGTCTCAAGTTCTCTCCTGATGGACAGTGGATTGCATCAGCTGGGGAGGACTGCAATGTTAAGGTCAGTGAAATGCATGTGCACAATGTATGGTTTTGTTGCATTATTATTATTATTATTATTATTATTATTATTATTATTATTACCTGTATTATTATTATTTTTATTATTATTATTATTATTATTATTATTATTATTATTATTATTATTATTATTATTTACTACAGTACTCTGTACCTGTACAGCAATAGACATAAATCAATAGATTTTATGAGTAATTTTATGACACAACTTTGCATCAGTCAACCATCTGCTTTATCCCCCAACTGGTGATCTGCAGGATATGTATAACAATGATGCAGTCCATTTTTTCTTGACAAATTGATAAAGTAGTTTCATACGGTAGACTCAGTGGTGTGAAAGTCCATTATCATTTTCTTGTTGATTGTTAGGTATGGTGATAGCCAAAAAAATTTGAGAGTTATAACAGTTGACTTTCATAAATTCTGGGGGTGTATTCCTGAGACGTACATAAGGATAAATGACTCCATGCCCAGTGTCAATACCCATACTGTAGTTTCAAAGTTAGAACACATGACAGTTGGGGTTGGAATGTGATATATTCTATGGTGTATAAATGAAATATCTACTGTTATTAGTATGATACAATTTATTTCAATCATACACAATCTGATATGGATTTTACAGTAAATGTTCAAAGTTCCGGCCCTCATCCTAATTATTACCACTTACTTTAAATAGGTCTTGGTATTTTATGTTTTACAGCATGTTCATAGACCTTTTGCAGTCCTCCCCTACCCAATTTTGTGGTACAATATAATTCCAAACTTATGGAGTATTGACACTATGGTCATGGAGTCATTTATCCTTATGTACCAGTATATCTCAGGGATACACCCCCAGAATTATGAAACGAACAGGTTTTCTGAAACGCCCTGTATAAGTTACGGTAATGAATGATTTTTTGAGAAGTGTGTGTGTGCAAGGTATTCTCCCTCTCAGAGCTGATCATCAACTTGTTCCTTCATGTACTGTAGTTTATTATTGTCTCAAACTACACTGTTTCTTAATAGTGTACAGGGTACAAGGTTTGCATTGATGTTTTTTTTTTTTATGCACGATTTTGGGCGATTATTAAGGAAATACAGTAATTGTGTACATATATAGACAACTTGTGCTACAAGCATTGTAACTAGAAGGCTCTATTTGTGCATGCCATTTTATCTATTTATATTTTTCTTTGATGTTTTACAATATGAAGAACATTAATTTTTTTTTGGATACCTTCAACATTTCACTAAATACAATTGTAATGCACTATAGAAATACAATTTTAAAGATTGCAGAGATTATATGACAAGGGCGAGCTTGCTATGATTTGAAAAATTCATTTTCTGTATCTCTAGATACCCCAGTCCATGCTCTATAACACTAGACTGACATCATGTGGCGGGCTCACCCCTATCAATTCAAAAATCCACCGCATGGTGTCAGTCTAGTATTATAGAGCGTGGACTGGGGTATTTGGTACATAGAAAATGATTTTTTTTTAACTATTAACAGATATTAGCTACAGTACTGGCTTAGTCTGATAATTGTACCAAACTAAAAGATGTCTGTTATTGGCAATATCCAGTATTGAGAAGTCCATTATTGAGAGGATTTACTGTACACGTACTGTATACAGCATATTCCATACCTATGGTACTTGTACAGTACCAAATATAGAATTTAGTGCAAGTAAAGTACTGTGCAGTATAGCTTCCCTTGTTCATTTAATAGTTAACTTTTGGAATTATTCCATAAACATATGCAAGTGCTGGTCTGTTGGGTTTCCATTTGCAGGCTCTGTAAAGGTGAAGTGAATGAACTGTGATTCATGTCCCAGTAAAAAGAATAATTTTTTTAGGCTATCATCTTTTCACATAAGTATTTTTTACTGGATATGTACTGTACTACAGTATACTGTATATCTGGATTACTAACTCATCCTTTGGTACCAGTTGTGGGACCTTCGTGCCGGCAAGATGATGACGGAGTTTGCTCAGCACACAGGGCCAGTCAGTGATGTGGAGTTTCACCCTCATGAATTTCTCCTTGCTTCTGCCTCTCATGATCGAACTGTCAATTTTTGGGATCTGGAAAAATTCTCACTGGTGTCAGCTACTGATGCTGATACTGGACCCATCAGGTTAGTAAGATTTTCCTGTACATACTATGTAAACACTTTGTACCTATTTTCTGTGCAGATAGTTGAAGGGAAACTATCACAATACAATACAGTACAGTACTCAGTTTCACAGTAACATCAAGGCTGATTATTCAAACACCACTTTATTGCTTGTGTAATACAGAAGAACTTTATTGTCTATTTTTTTTTTTTTTTACTCATGCATATTTTATTCTTATCAGTTTGATGTTATATTTAAAATGTCAGATTAGTTTTATATTGATAATATCACAGTTTATCAATACCCGGTACAGCATTACGTACTTATGTGTTGTAACACTGGAGTACAGGTATAAGGCTTTGACATTTAACAAGCAACAATATAAAATTTGCATCTCCTGTAATTCCCCATGCTGAATATTGTATATTATAAGGTACTGAATAGTGTTTGACTCATCCATACAGTCAATCATCCTCAATTAGCATGGTTTTTTGTGCAGTTTTGTGCAGTTTCACAGTTAAGGAATTGCGACTCTTTCAAAATAATTCAAGGAATATAATAATAATATAACTGTAATGGACACCAGGTATTGCAGTTTTAAATTATTCACTACAACACTTGTTTGTATACCAAGGAGAGACAAAATAATTTTGACTGTAATTTGGATGTATGGAACAGCTTACCGGTTACATTTGCAACTACTGTACAGTATGTTGACTTCGAAGAAAAGACTAGTCATGCTGTGGGCAGATGAAAACATTATATTCAAGCAAAGTGTACTCTGATTATTTGTTTAAAAGGTACTAGCCCACCTGCAATACCTTCAACCTCAATCATAGTAGCAGATGGAGATGTGTATACAGTATACTGTACTGTATATACCTTATATATTTAGTGGGTGTTGTCTTTCTCAAAAGACCTAACTCTTTGTAAGGAAGAAACATTCACAAGTGCTCAACATACAGAAATGTTTAAAAGACCAACAAGAAAGACAATTATTTAGCATTGGAATTATAACAGCAACAGCTATTAAAAAAAAATTCACTCCTCTTTATTCTTCATTTACTACACATTCAACAAGGTCATATGTTATTCAAGAAAGAAAGGCCATAAGTTGCCTTTTGAAGGTCTAAAATGAGTGCAACTCCTTCTCAGAGATAAGTAACTAATAATATACAGTAATTAAGGAGCTGTGTAAGAAAAATTATGTTTACACATGGCTCAAGATTTCAGATCCTAGTTACCCTGTTCTAATGGACTGGACTTTCTTCAGTAAATAATTTGGCAAGACAACCCACAGAGACTTACATTAATTGATCATGGTTGCATTATTCACATGAATAAAGTCTACATCCCCCGAGCTGTTATGACCTATGATTTTGACATCTCTGTTATACTATGTTATAGGGTCTCAAATGCCACTTACCTTTGTCCTGGTCATGGAGTCTAATCATTCCAACCTTTATAGTGTATGTAGTTTTGTGATTTTTATATATTTTTGCATTTAAGGTCCTCCATAGCATAATTGAATATGTAAAGTTATACGGTACAAGTTGTTAGATAGTGGTTATTTGTTGTTGGTGACATCATGTTCATGTTGCAGAACAATAGCCTTCCACCCTGATGGTGACTGTGTGTATGCGGGGTCTCCTGATGTCTTAAAAGTGTATGGGTGGGAGCCTGCACGCACTTTTGACACTGTGGCTATGGGCTGGGGCAAGATACAGGATATTGCCATTGCTCAAAATCAGTTGGTGAGTTCAACAATTAAGTTTTAAGTGTACTTTTATTTATCAGTCATTACCAGTAATTAGTACTGTACAGTTGTTTGAATATTTTTTCATAATGTTGGAATACCTGAACTGTTAATCACCTTACATTACAAATCATAGATTGATTAAATGACAGAATACATGTTTGATATACAGGTATTCAGATTATTCAGGGAAAAATAAAATTTTACAAGTTTCAAAGGGTCAGGAACCTTTCCTGTTTGGCATCCTGCTCCTTCATAAATCATAGCAGATTCTAGAGTTACTTAGAAGATAGCCTTCTGTAGATTATTTTCCTTGGAAATGTTCATCATGTTTGGGAAAACCTTTACAGGTTACTTTTGTTTATGCTGGGAGTTTTGTTCCTAGGAAAGTCTGGCATAAACAAGACCAGTACAAATGGGTTTCCATAGTAAAGGGGGAGTTATATTTTCAGCTACAACCAGAGTCCCTCCCTTTTTTTAATTCTCATTAATTGTTGCCTTGAATGTAATGCCTGTATAAGATTTGTTGGGTAATACACCTCGAGACCATCAATCCCCGCTAGCCTCTCACACACATACCACTTCACCTGCCACCTCCCATACAAGTATGTACAGTGGCTCCACATTAGCCCACCAGGGCACAGGTCAATGACCCTTATCAGGGCCTGGGGGCGAAATAATAATAATAATAAGAACCATAAAAAAAAAAAAAAAAAAAAAAAAAAAAAAATATATATATATATATATATATATATATATATATATATATATATATATATATATATATATATATATATATATATATATATATATATATATATATATATATATATATATATATATATATATATATATATATATATATAGTGTGTGAAACGATATATGTATGTTGTGTTGTCAAAGTAAGAGAAACAATTGAAACCCTGCAAGTGTGTGGAGCAGACTATTGTACAGTTCCCCTTTTTGGAGTAATTGTGGAGCAGACTATTGTACAGACCTCTTTTTTGGAGTAATTGTGGAGCAGACTATTGTACAGTCCCCCAAAAGGTATCGTTACCGGTAGATTTCTGTCGCCATAATTCGAAACGCTAGACGAAATGCTTTGATATGATCCCCAGTGCATCATCATAAGTTGGTATGCCTGCTCGCCATATCAGCAACAGCTACAGATTGGGGGGAGGGAGTTGTATATTCTCATTCATGCCCAAAGGTTGCAGGTGCAGAACTACCAGTCGTTCAGAAACAGGTCGAGTAACAAAAATTTTGCTTGTAGAATGCAACTGATTAAATTAATTTCTTAATAATATATCGTAATAAATTTGTGGAGATATGTAGAAGTTAAGGAGGGAATAAAATTGGTATAAAAAGATGTACTATAGGACTACTGTTCTTTGATTAGTGGAAGATTACATCATGTTTCATGTTGTTTTGATTTTCAGATTGGTGCAGGCTTCCATGGTGTGCATGTGTCTCTGTATGTAGTGGATTTGAAGCGTGTACAGCCTTTTGGAGGGCCACAACAAGATGTGCCATCAACTTTTAGATATGGTGCAGCCATACGCAAGAGCTTCAGCAAAGATAAAAATTCAGGAAAAGCCACGTAAGATACAATTGAAGCTGCTGTGGAGAGTGTTATTTTCTATAAACTCTCATCACTTTCTATTTTACTGTACTATAATCTAATGTCTGTCCCAGGTGACTTGTGTATTGTCACTCAAGTTTACAAATTTAAAACCAGGCAAGCTCACAGCACTGATGGATGGGATTAATGCAGTGATTAGGTTATATCTTCCCATTGCAACAATAATCCTCATAAAGGGATATGTGGAAAAAAAATTGCCACTGAGGGCTGAAAAGTTGTGATTGCATTGTAGCTGTGCATACTGTGATAATCCATTGTCATCAGCCTCATCGGAATTGCCAGGTCAATTCAGTCCAACTACCTTCCTGTTTAGCACATATGTGGGTCCAACAGCTCCATTTCTATACACAGTGATCCAGTCTGATATTTCAAGTGGCTTGTCAGTTTGTGGGACAGTACTTTCCACCTGTGTTAATGGAAGCTAATTTTACAATACAGATAATTCTACTTATCCTTTGCACAGATTTCTGGCTTAGATGGCAAGAAACACTAGTTATTGATGTTTTAGTGTTTTAAGTGATATCCCTCTTATGATGTTTTCAGTCAATTGACTGTCTTTGATTTAGCAGACAATTGTGCAGTCCCCCTGAACACAGCTAAACTAAAGAGTCAATTAATATGTACCTCTACTTTGCAGGGCGGAGTCCATGAAGACTGAAGAAGCGTCCGATACTGGGGGCGAGGAACCCCAGGAGGAGGATCCCCCTCCAGAGATCACCAACCTTAATGACTACAATGGAATATTTAAGACCCACCGGGAACGTAAGTTATGTCCATCATGAATGTTGTATCTATAATTTAGGTAAAAAGGGATTTCATGTCTGATAAGAAGCATTGCAAATGTTAGTTTCTCATTGATTTTGGAACAACTTTTGTCATATCAGTTTTGTGTAATATACTTCAAATTTTTAAGTTTTATTTTGTAGTAGAAATTGAACTTTTTGCTGTGTGAGCTTCATATTCAGAGTTTCCTCATTTTATAAATAATGTCGTGCTATATCAGCTGAAATCCCAAGGCCTTCCTGGTGTATGTCTTCCAGTGGCCTTTATTTTTTATCATCTTAATATCACTTTTTATTTTTATTTTTTTTTTATTTTTTTTATTTATTTATTTTTTTTTTTTGGGGGGGTTTATAACTACAGTAAAACCTTGATAAATCTGACTTCAATAAATCAGAATTTCCTTTTTTCGGACACGTAGAGGCTCTGATCATCAGAAATATTAAAAAAAAGAAAAGAAATAGGGAATATTAATAAAAAAAATCTTATGAGATGAACAACACTTACTGAATACTGTAGAGTGGTCTAATCAGATTTTCTATAGGCCTACTGAGAACTAAGACACTTGAGTATGTAAGCAGGCTGGGGCTGATCAAGTGTTGCCACATTCGTCAGGTTTATTTATTTATTGATTCGGTATTATATTCTCATATGATTGACGTCTTATGGTTTATGGCTCATTACGATTAATATAACATCTTCAGTAATACAGTAGATAAAAAATACAATACTGTACAGTATGTAATTTGTAATATGGCTTGAAAATAAAAGGATAAGCTGTATCAAAAGGTTATTTACTCAAGATGCTTTCATGTGAGAGCTTTCAACAGACCAGCTTACAACAGGGGTCACTATAACACACTGTACAGTAAAGCCTCCGATAACGACAGTTCTACTAATGACGATTCATATTTAAGACCCTGGTTAATTTAGGACCCAATTCAATTTATGCCATTATTTTCTTCATATTTATGACAGAATTAGAAAAAAAATACATTTTCATATAAATAATAACAAAATCCTGATATGTACAGTATTATGCAAAAAAAAAAAAAAAAAGCCTTGCATGGTGGCTGCCGGGCTTTTTAGTGGTGATGCCAGTATTTTTGAGTCCCTATTCAACATGAGCAAGAGAGCAAGTGGTGGTAATGCTGGTTCAAAAGCTAATAGAAAGTGTGTATGCTTAGCCCAGAAACTAGATGTGTTAAAACGATATGAAAAAGGTGAGAGGTCTGTGGATATTATATGGAGCAAACAATGGACATATTTTCTGAAGTGGATCCATTAACAGAACGAAGCATTAAAATTAACAGGGACATGAAAAATGCAAATGACCTCTACATAAAGATGTATAATGAGAAAAGAAAGCAGCTGTGCAAGGTTCTTTCGACAGCTTTATTATTCAAAAGCCTAAACCATCAACTTCAGCTACACCATCAAATTCAGCATCAAAAGCAGTTTCAACAACAACTTCAGGTTCAGTAACAATTTCAGCAACAGCTTTATGGAAAGCTACAGCTTCAGCCAGAGTTTAACCTGATGACTTCGTCATCTGAGTAGAAACTCACACAACATCATTGGCTGTCCTTATGTTTTAGACTTTACCACTATTGGTGAGTAGAATTTTTGTTTTGCATTCGTAAATATTATTTAAAACGTATATGAACAGTAAATAAGTGTTGCTATCATATTCTTATGTACAGGTAGAGAAATGGCGATATGTTTTCACATACAGTATATGCAATTACTTATGTTGGCGTTCCTAATCGTCTCGCTTTATTTCTTTACCCTTAGTGGTTAGCTACTTCTATTGTTCCAATTATTAACATTAAATAACATAACTTAAAACTTACATACAGATATTATTTTTTTTTACATTAAGTTACTACTGCTACAACCACGGTCTATTTTATTCAGTTTCTTATGTAGAACCATTGTCACTCACGAAAACAATGCCGTCTTGTCTCCACTTATGTGTATTAATATTCTATGTATTATTAATGAATTGCATTGTTCATTTCACATACATAAACATTTAATTCAATCTAATACATATTCAGTAATAAACATTGATTAATCTTTTGTACATATTCTTAAGATAAATGACTATGTTTCCTTGAGTGCGCACGTGTACATTGGCATTCCACTATCAGTCTCACTTTTTTTCTTTAATATCATTGGTTACTTCTACTGAACATTAAATAACAGTAATTAAAAAATACATATTTTTTACATTAATTTTACTACAAGAACAACCAGGGTCTTATTTCTTCAGTTTCAGGTGAATAACTGACATTATGGATGTAAACACTGACAACAATGCCATCTCTTATCCTCTTGTGTGTTTTAATATTCTACGTAGTATTAATGAATTGTAGTGTTCATTTTGTATATATAAAGATTAATTCAATCAAATTCAGTAATAAACAATAATGTATCTTTTGTACACATTCTTAATAAGATAAATGAGCTGTTTCCTTAAATGCGCACATATGCTCACTTTTTTTTCATTGCCATTAGTGGTTAGCTACTTCTATTGTTCCATTTATTAACATTAAATAACATTCCTCAAAACATATACTATATATTCTTGTTTTTTTACATTAATTTTACTACAGCTACAACCAGGGTCTTATTTTCTTACGTAAAACTACCGTCCCGGACTCCCGGCTGTAAACACTAACGAAAACAATGGTGTCCCATCTCTTGTGTGACCATATTATTATTCATTTATATTGTATAAGGTGGGGGTTGCCATACGTCCGTATTTTCCCGGTCATGTCCTCCATTTAGGTCTCGAAATCTTCATCCGGAAGTAATTTTTAAAATTCTTCAAAAGTCCGAAATTTCAGCTTCCATCATTTTCTCCACGGAAAGAAATATGTAACTGTAATGACGAGAGAGAGAGAGAGAGACTGTGAGAGAGGGGAGGTTGAAACACTAGAGATCTTGTTCAGTTTTCGTCAGCTGATAAGTCACGTGTACGCTTGTACGGTGTTGTCAACTTAGCAGCTAGCAGTTTTTGGGCTAGCATGTAGTGCCATGTACTGCTTTTCCTTGTTCTTTAGTCATGCTCATTTTTTTTATTTTTTTTTATTTAGTGCTATTACAGCCATAAATGAAATGTTGAAAGTATACCATTTTTTCTTATGGCTTTTCTTACACTGTAGCACTTGTTTTTCTTGTCCTGCATTTAAGGCATTTTATCAATCTTCAACCATAATCTAGCCACTTTCGCTATATTATTTACGTGTGTTGACAACTATGACGGTGACCGGTGGTTGGCCAGTCTTTAACCTGCAGTGACAGCGTTTGATCTTAGTCTTTGTTGTGGGTTTGTCGCTTGTTGCCACAGCTAGTGCTTACGATTTGTTGTACTTTTCCAGAGCATAAAACGGTCACGGCTGCATCAAGGTTACATTGCGCCAAAATCTGTGCCAGTTGGGGGCGCGCGGGGGGCAGAACATGTTCGGGAACGTCCTCGTTTTTTAATGTTCAGACATGGCAACCCTAGCATAAGGTGTATTCAGAAACATTATTTAAATAATGTAGTTTGTAGTTTTCATTAACTTTATTGTTTTGGGGAAATGAGGGTAAAAAAAACGCACGAAAGATATGAAAAGGTCACTCTTGGGAACGCATCTCATTGTTATTGTTTTATTTTAATGGTAATTAATGATTCACGGTACGATGATTCACCTTACACTGCAATATTGGAGGACACATTACCGTCGTTATTCGAGGCTTTACTGTATAGTACTGTATTTGATATGAAGATACAGTACTTAATTAAAAACGTTATTTACCACCTTTGAGTGTTATAGGATGGCTCAGTTTGGCTACTTGTATACTTAGACAAATGATTAATGAATAAACCAGGGTATATGCAGATACACAATATTGTACACTACAATATTACTTAAGTGATGATAAATACACTACAATAGTATTTATTAAGTGATGGTAAATACACGACTGTACTGTACTAATTTACTAAGTGTTAACACACATTTTGGTAAACCAATCAGCTGTTTGCCCTTTGTAAACAAATGACTCAGTGTTCAGTGTAGGATTCTTTTTTCAGGAAAACTGATTCTTTTAGCATAATATTGTATCAAATGAACCTAAATTATATGAGAATTATGGTGAAATTGCATAAAGATGTGTTAAAGGAATCTTGTGGGAGAGAGGGGTAGGGAGTACCCACCCGTGCTCCCCCCCCACCCCCTGCCAGCTGTTACCAGATAAACACGCATCTTTCACTTACAATATACTCCTACACTTATTTGTTCTTATTATTTTCTTTATAGTACTGTACAATATACATACAGTCTTCTCTTTATTCATAAGACAAATTCTGTGGTTACTTACATATAACACTTTACAGTAAATTATAATCATCTGGTGAAACATTTGTTGACAACCAGACTTACTTTATATGTCTGATTATCAACCCAGAGAGTTCTGTTTCATTTTTTTTTTTTTTTTATTGTTGATGTAGTATTCTTTTAATACCTTGTTATGCACTTACAGAACTTAGTTGTTGAAGTGCAGTAATAACATAACAACAACTGATTTTCTTTAAACAGTTCAGATAAGCAGTGTTATCTCCCCCCCTTCCATTTTATTTTTTATTTATTTATTTTTCGGGTTGGGGTCTGCTCAATTAGTCCGATTTATCGAGGTTCTACTGTATCCAAATAAATCGTGCTTGATGTATTAGTTTTGAAAGATGAGTTATTTCTTACCCTTTTTGTGTTACAAAAATCTTCTAAGTGTTGCAATCTAACTTATAGTTAAGCATGTATCCCTTAAGTCTGTTAGATGGTAGGTTCTGCATGTGTAGTTATATCACACTTCAGCCCTCACCTCAGATGAATTCTTAAAGCCACCTCAAATGTGCTAACACACTCATTTATTCATGGAATGCTGTTTTATTTTATTTTTTTAACAATTAAGTTTAAAAGCACTATGGAGACCTTAAGAGGATTTCTGACATGTAGTTTTGCAAGTGCTTATTAATTAATGTGTGGCTTCCTGTTTTGATATTAATCATAACTGTTGTATTTGTTGTGCTTTTATTACAGTACAGAGAACACCACCCCCGCTCGAGCCCAAACCTGCCATTAACAATAATAATGGTAGGTATTTAGGTAACATTCTTCCAATTTGAGCAACCTGTAGTGTTTTGAGCCCTAAACAGGATGTGTGTAAAAGCTCATTAATAATTCTTACTCTTTGCAGAAACATAAGACTGGGAGGCTACATTCCAAATGTGTTTGATCTGTGAAATTAAATGGGGTATTAACTATGGATGATTTCCAGAGTGGTAATAGGAAGGCAATATGTTAATAACCCATTTGTTGCCAGGAAAGTGGGTGAAAGAATTAAAATTTACACCCATCAATTACACATCTGTTGGCTGCCCACCATGTTTTGTGGTACCATATTTGTACAATTATAAGTTGCCTTAATTATAAACTGCAGAGTGATTTTTAGGCAGAAATACAAATAAATTTTTGTTTTACGTGCTTATGGAGACAAGTTTATTTCTGGCTGACACATTTTTTTTGAACATCAGTATATGTACATAGGTATAATTGGAAAAAAGAGATGAACTAAAATATGAACAGGAGTCTCAGATAGGTTATACACCAAGCCCTTGTTATCTACAAATCCTAGCACTCACAAGGTCAGTCTCGGGGCAGCATCTCATCCGCTCAAGAACATTCTAGAAACATAAAGATGAGAAAAACAATGCACTGTGCAGCTCTCCTATGCACCACGCAGCAGTAAATATGGTCCTTTTGTGGAATGTAGCATAAATTCAAAAGATAATTAAAATGTTGCAAATCCTTGTGCAAAGATAGATATATATATATATATATATATATATATATATATATATATATATATATATATATATATATATATATATATATATATATATATATATATATATATATATATATATACACACACACACACGCCCATCCGGGTACAGGTCACTGACCCACATCGGGGCCTGGGGGGGCGATAATGTAATAATATTAATAATAATGATAATAATAATAAAGAACCATAAAGAAATGCAAAAATGAAAAAAAATCAAGAGTGAGAAACAATGTACCTGTATGTATGTTGTGTTGTCAATAGTAAGAGAAAAAATTGAGACACTGCAATTGTGTGTAAATGAGGCAGAAAGTCAGATCAGCAACCTGGGACTTGGTCACAATTTTTGTGATGACATATGTTCTTTGACTTTTCCATTTTTTATTCACAGTTTCTGTGCTGGTTCATATTTATTTACTAAAGTGGTTAATGTTTTAATGCAAATTCTATTGAAATATGAATGGCAAATGAAAAAAATTGAATAGAGGGACTTAAATGAGGTAGGTTAGGGAAAGGTACTTTGAAAATGTATGTTTTATTTCCGTAGACTTTATGTACTATTAACCGACCTTTTGGATTATCCGTCGGCCCCTTCTCCCCATATGTGTTCGGTTAATCGAGGTTGCCGCTTGCCTCTGCCTCCCACCTGGGATACCCTCCAACACATGCTGCCATGCGTGCCGAATCGTTGCCACAGATAGCTGCCCCCATGCCTCCACCAAGAAATCAACAGCCTTCTTCACGTTAAACAGCTTCCAGAACTGCTTGACCCGCACTTCATGGTCTGCCAAATCTTGTTCGTGTTCCTCGCTCTCGCTATCGGTGCCACTCTCTAGGTTCTGCAGTTCATCCTTGGTGTTGGTGAAGTTGTTTAGGAGCCGAAACTTCTTGGCGGAAAAAGCAGCCTTCACGTTGCAAATCAACTCCTGATCCATGGGCTGGATTAACGACGTAGTGCTAGCGGGAAGGAAGACCACTTTTATGTTGGGGTGACGATCCAACAAAAGGGGCGAGTGTCCTGGTGCGTTGTCGAGGAGCAAGAAAATGTTGAATGGCACATTATTTTCCACGCAGAATTTCTTGATATCAGGAACGAGACAGTTGTCAAACCAGGAGAGGGACAGACCAGAGAACATCCACGCCTTCCATGAGGTTAGCCAGTGGACATCTAACTTGCTCATGTCCATATTCTTGTAGGCATGCGGCTTGCGGGCTTTGTGGATCACAGACAACTTCAGCTTAGCAGTGCCGGAGGCATTGGTGGTGAACATTACAGTGATGCGCTCCTTCTGCATTTTGCGCCCCTGACACTTGCTCGCAGACTTGACTACAAAGGTCTTGGATGGCAATTTCTTCCAGTACAACCCTGATTCATCTATATTGAACACTTGGTCGTCGGTGTACTGTCCTTCCTCCATAATTTTCCGTAAAAATGGGGAAAAATTCATGGCGGCAGCCCGGTCGGCACTTGCTCCTTCTCCAACTATCTCAATATTCGTGATCTTGTTGCATCGTTTAAAACCTTGCAGCCACCCAGCGGATGCACTGAAGGACTTGGGCTCTACAACACCCATTTTTCTTGCTACTGCTACATAGAGTTCTCGGGCATAGTCCTGCACTGCCCGAGTGTCGACCGCCATAATATAGCTTACGAAACAACTCTCGGTCTTCAGCAGCACCTTATTGTGGCAATATTTCACCAGTAAGGCACCTACAGACTTGGTAATGTTCATGCGTTCATTGATTTTGCCGGCATCCTTCTTGATCGTGCGGATCATCGATTCATTCACTCCATATTGTCTGGCCAGATCCACCTGCCTCGTGCCTTTTTTAACTCCTGAACGATCTTGTACTTAACCTCATAGCTTATGATGCGTCTCACCTTCTTGGGCTTGGAGTGGCTTGGGCCAGGTAGTTCAGGGCTTCTCGGGGGTGGTGGGGGTCTAGCGGAAGCCACTGTAAAAAGAAAAAAAAAATGGTTCCTGGGCACAAGTGAATATGCACGGGGACAGTGAGACTAGCGCGGCCAAGGTCAAGAGCGCGGTGGCAGGGCTGGCAAGGTTAAATAGACCAATCACAGCGCACGGCGGAGGGGGGGGGGGTGCGTGGGTGGTAAGGATACGTGGCCCAATCACAGTCCGCGACATCGTCGGCGTGAGTCTGACGTCAGCGCCCAGGACCTTGCCCCTTCCGCTTGCCGCTTATATGATGGCATTTACCACGTAAATAATAATTATCGCTTCTGGACAGGTGCCACGTAAACAACCGTCCGTGTATAAAATATCCGCGTAAACCCAGACTATACTGTAAATAATAATAACAATAATAATAATATCACTGATAACAATAATAATAATAAAGAATCATAAAGTTATAAAAAAATGAAAAAAAGGATCAATAGTGAGAAATGATATATGTACAGTGTGTTGTGTTGTCAAAGAAAGAGAAACAATTTATTGAGACCCTGCAATTGTATGTGAATGAGGCAGAAAGTCAGATCAGCAACCTGGGACTTGGTCACAATTTTCATGATTTCATATGGCAGCAGGGTTTACCATTAGACAACACATTATGCTTCCAGTACCTTCCAAGGCAGTAGTAACTCCCTGTTTGGTAGCTGCCTACTATGAATTATTATTATTATTATTATTATTATTATTATTATTATAATTATTATTATTGTTATTATTATTGTTATTATTATTACATTTTTGCCCCCCATGCCCCGATGTGGGTCAGTGACCTGTGCCCGGGTGGGCTAGTCCCTGTTAAAAAATATATATATACAGTATATTTATAAAAAATCTAACCTAACCATTCTGAAATTCGAAAAATTCCGAAATCCAAAACACATCTGGCCCCAAGGGTTTCGGAAGAGGGATTGTCAATCTGTACTTAATAAATGGGAAAAATAGGGTTCAGCTCCTTAATAACAAGAAAACCCCAATATCGTACCTAGAAAAATGAAATTGGTTTTCAAATGATTATTTTTTTTTCTTTTTTTGCCAAATTACTGTAAATTACTACCAAACTACTACTGTAATTTTATGCCTAACTACTGTACTGTAATTTAGAGTAACACGTTAAAAAAAAATATCCTCTAATATAAATTTGGTACATTATCTTAAGGGATCATATTCGTATAAACAAGAGTAGCTTTCATATACATAATAATAATGAGGTGTAAGAATAAAAAATTTGTATAAGCAAGTTTTTGTTGTTCAAATGAGAATACTGTACTGTATTTTAATTTCTTGAGAAGAGCCAGGCTGGAATCTTTTATCAATTACCCACCACACATGCAAAATTCCTCAGCTGTAGTCATGGCATCACTCAACCAGTGCTCATTCAAAGTCAAGAACACTTGCTCTTATTCCTGTATACAGTAGAAGTCCAAAAATCCGGACTGCTTGGGGATTGGGTTTGTCGGGATTTTCGGATTTTCCGGATTCTCAGGCAGTACTTTTAAAATTCAAATTTAAGGAGGAATAAAGAAGAGATGAACAGGTACATTTTGATAGTTTATTCATTAGCAAATATAGCATGCTTCATTTATCAAAACGAGCAGTTTTAATGAAAAAGCTGTGAATTCTAGAATTTTATTCTTTGCCATTTTTATATCATAAATTGTATACTTTCCAATGTCGTATGTTTCCATTAGAACAGTATTGCTCACACCACGTTCTAGTTTCTTAATTATTTCAAGTTTGTCACTCAATTTCAACGTGTTCTTCTTTCTCTTCACACAACGAAGTTTATCTACTTTAGGAGCCATTATTATGGGCTTGTACAGTACTCTGTAAATGGAAAGAGTAGGACTCAAAATATTGTTATATTATTATGGTATTCTATTCATACTGTGCGTGATATAATGCATTCACGGAAATGTAATATTTTTGCTGAAATGACGTACGTATTACAGTGGAAAGTGGGAAAAAATCGTGACGAAAACAATGACTTTCGCTTTCTTTCATTCAAAAGATGTTACCGTAATCGCTTTTCGTATGGTTTTCAGTTAAAAAACTGTTGTATTACAATAATATTCTATCCTAATTGACTTGAATAAATACTAAGATACCATATTTCTGAATATTTTCATTAAAATACATCAAAATCATTTTCCTTTTCATCGTCTGCAGCACCAAACAGCTTCTCCCAGTCCTCTCCTTGAACAGGGCTAGAGGGTACGTGTTTTTCGAATCGTTTTCAGTTAAAAAATTATTACATCACATGTATATTTTACCTAAACTGCGCCTGAATGAATATATTCTCGGAAATAAATAGTAGTTTTGCTGAAACGTGATGTATTTCAATGTAAAATAGGATAAAATACATGACGAAAACAAAAGACTTTACCTAAGCTTCCGATGTTCTTGAGATGTTACTCGTTTTTTTAATAGTTTTCGGTTAAAATTCTGTTATATTACAATGATATTCTATTCATACTGTGCTTGATATAATACATTCACGGAAATGTAATATTTTTGCTGAAATTACGTACGTATTACAGTGGAAAGTGGGATCAAATCGTGACGAAAACAATGACTTTCGCTTTCTTTCGTTCAAAAGATGTTACCGTAATCGCTTTTCGAATGGTTTAGTTAAGAAACTGTATTACAATAATATTCCCTCCTAATTGACTTGAATAAATATTTGAATGGAAATATACAATATTTTTGTTGAAACTACCCGAGTTTCAGTGTAAAGTGTCGTAATAATAAATGGTAAACAATTTGCCTTCGGCACTCGTGTTTCAGGCACGGCGAGCCTCGGTTTATAGGACGTAGTGTTTTTACTGAAGGTTTTGTTGTTCCATTACCCTCAAAAACGTGGGTCGACCTATAAACGAGGAATATCATGAATTAACGATTTCTTGGTCAAAAAATCATGGTCGACCTATAAACGAGGGGGGTTATAGATGAGTATATACGGTATGTTGTCACAGTTTGATTGCTCGTTTTAGTGGCGACCACGAGGTCGCTGTGCAGCTGTGGCGCTCACGCATGCGCACATACACACAAAAGCCCGCTAAAAAAAAAATAGCTTTCGAAAAGTCCGGATTTCTGGCATCCGGATTTTTGGACTTTTACTGTACTGTAATTTCCTTAGAGTTTACCACATACAGTACACCACTTGCCAAGATGTCTAAATGCTCAGCACCTGTTTTTCCTTCCATTTCAAGTGAGAAAAGAAGAGAAAAATGTTTAAATTAGAAAAAAATATACACAGGTATATTCTTTTTATTAGCTGATTATAAAGTGCAACAATTATGGGATGCTGAATTGGGGTAATTGAATGCATAATTCTCAGTATCAGACTCAAGGTTGACAAAATTAGTGCATCATATGAACACAACCATCCATGTTCAAGACCATCCAGCATTTAAGGCTGCCACTGTACCAAGAGATTGAAGAGGCTTTGAAGATTTGGGTGTTCGTATGTGTGGTTAACGACTGTGCGTGGGTCTCGCACTGCACATGTCTCATTCTGAGTCCTGCCTTTATGTGTATCGTATCAGTTTGCTGCACCTCACAACCTACACTCATTTACGCTATCAGAGAGTTCCAGGTTTGAAGGATTCCGGCTAACGGAGATATTGCTGTAATACTTTGCTGTCACTCAGAAACGAGTATGATGATCTTCAAGCTATGATACAATGATTTGAGTTATTAAGGATGTCACCTTCATTGGTGAGCTCTGAACCATAATTGTGATGATTGTACATGAGTAACGTGAGCCATGCTGGGTTATAAAGTAGGATTTCAGTAGAAAAGCCATAGATTTTTAAAGATATTCTGATGTGTTGGTTTCCCATGTAATTTGTTTTGATTACACGAATGGTTTATTTTTATTTTTATTGAGAATTATAAATCTATTGTTAATGGAATTTTTAATTATTACTTTTATTGTATATGAGTTCTGTAAATTTCTCCAATTTCTTAGTGATTTTAAGGAATTTATGTTTCTCTTATGTGATACTTGACAACAGATCCTATGGTGCCTCAAGTGATGACCAGTCCAGATGTGATACGACCAGAGCCAATAAGACCCAGTCCACCTACAGCAGCTAGACCTACTACTCCAGATGCTGCACGTAGAGGATCGTCCCAAAGTGTCTCACACCTTCCACGGCCAATTGCCACCCCCAGAGAGACTGTCACTCCAAGGTTGGTACAATAGTATTGTCTCTCTGGGCAAGGCTTTTATTTTTGAGCTGACATATAGGATTTTCATATACTGGTATTATATCCCTTGGTGGGTTATTACAGTATACAGTAGTATTCTGGTTAGGGTATCCAGAATCCATACAACCAGCAGATTCAACTCAATTAATCAGAGAACTGCCCTCATATCTGAGGGTTGGAGACCACATTCCTCCACTCTAAACGTTCGCAGCACTGGCACCAAAATTAAATAGTAATAATAAAATAAAAATTCCTTCAAAATCATTTAGAATTGTAAGTTTAGACACTGCATGTATTGGGGATGAGCTGCACATATTTTATGCCCCAAAAAATAGTTCCTTCGACACTCAAACCATCTTCTGGGCAACATGACGAAGTTCAGGCAGTCACCACAGCTAACTCACAGATGTGTAGTTGCCATGCTGGCTGTGTGTATGTCATAACATCACATAGGGAGGGAGTGCAGCCACACATTTATACCTCCTGTAGTTCAGTAACCCACTGCCTCTACACACATTCTCTTCCACATATACACACTCAAGCTATTAATTTTTCATTTATTATAGTTTTATATTATATTTTCTTTATTTTTAAACCACATTTAAGTTCAGTATTGCATTGATTTTTCAATAACTTTTATAATTTCATTACATGTAACAATAAACGTCTCTGGGCTGATGAGTCAGCGTCACAGTTATTGCCTATCGCCTCCACACATGTTCAGTTCCCACACATGCACACTCATGCTCTTCATTTTCTTATTTTATTGTTTTAGCTGTATATTATATTTTCTTTGTTTCTAAGGCACATCTTTTATATAGAGTGGAATAAGTGTTAAAGAAATCCATTTTCTGAGACACGAATTTGCAAGGTCAGCCTGTAGCACTGGGATTTATTAGGGGATCTTAAGAGTGAGATTCAACGAAATGGAAAACCTCTTATCCGGCACTTCTCAGTCCCCATAGATGACAGATAACCTTAATTCTACTGTCATTTAAATTTTTTTTTGTCCAATTTTATACATATCCATCTTTCCCCCTGGACTTTGTACACGGTCATATCAATAAGTGATTCAATTGTTTTAAAGGGTTAAATTTTTTGAGCATTACTAACTGAGGTTCATGTATGCAAATTAATGCTATTATTATTGCTATCCCCAACTGGAGAGAAGGAGACTTTTTTCCTCCTCCATTCATTTCTTCCAGCAGCATGGACATCCTCTCTCTTCTTTGGATGTTTTACTTAGTTGGCTAGAAACTGAATTAAAGATGGCATATTGGACCAAACCAAGATGGTTTGCCATAGCATTTTTGCAGTGCTGTACATCATGTGCAATAATTAGTCAGACATTGCTACAAACAGGTCCCTAGTCTTTTGAGGAAACTGTTGTACCAAAATCCCTCATTTTGGGTTAGTGGTATGATGTTTGAGGTGGGGATGATTGGTACCGGTATACACTTAGGGTTAACCCCTTCACTATGAGGATGTTACCTTTAATATTTTATTTGGCTAATGCCAGATAATTTTTTTCAGCTCAGAGGGAACCCCATTCATAAGGGGTTAAGTGCCAACCTCAGGCTGGTATTGCATAGGTATATTGACCCAATGACGAGGATGTTTCCTATTAATTTTGGGGTCTCTAGGTACAAAGGTCAAGGTCATTGTAGCTAGATTTAGAATTCTGGTTTTTAAATATTAGTTTACATGCACCAATGAACATTGTATTACAGAAGTATCTTGTCCCTAAGAGAGGAAGTTCCATGGTGATTTTGGGGTCACTTGGTCAAAGGTCTCACTTTTGTTAAAACTATTATTATGCAGCATTTTGAATATGTAAAGCATAATATGAATTTTGATACACTTGTAAAATTTATATTGCTGATGTATTTTGCTCTTTGGGAGGGTGAGTTCTCTTCCAACTTTGGGAGTACTGTACACGTATCTCTTAAACAACGGGAGTTAGGTTAATGAAAACCCTATAAAGACCCAAAACTGCAATGTTCACCTGCGGGAAGCCAAAATTGACAAAAAAATAAGAAAACCCTACTCCATAACACATGTACTTTCCGCATATCCTTTTCATTTTTCTTATTTTATAGTTTTATATTATATTTTCTATATTTCTAAGCCACATTAGATTATTGTAATGATTTTTTTACAACTTTTATGGTTTCATTACAAGTAACAATTTACAAGGTGGCTTCCATACATATTCGCTTCTCACACATACACACCCATGCTCTTCGTTTTCTTGTTTTTTATTATATTTTCTTTATTTCTAAGCCACATTATAGTACAGTATTGTAATTATTTTTTTACAAGCAACAATAAACACAACGGCTAGGTTGATGAGTCGTAAACATAGTTATAGCCCACCACATACACACGCGTTCACTTCTCACACGTACACACCCATGCTCTGCATTTTTCATGTTTTATAGTTACATATTATATTTTCTTTATTTCTAAGCCACATTGTTTTATAGAATACTATAATTGTCAAAGAAATAATTTTTTCTGAGACATGTGCCAAGAGTCAACTGTGGCCTGCGAGAGTTGAAAATGCATGTTGCCATTATTGCATATAGTAATGAAATTATAAAAGTTGTGGAAAAATCATTTCAATACTGTAATGGGACCTAGAAATAAAGAAAATATAATATAAAGCTGTAAAATAAGAAATATGAAGAGCATGGGTGCATATTCTGTGTCTCTTAAAATGCAGTGTCTTGCTGACAGCACTCGTAACAATGCATTCACGGCCAGTAGTGGAAGTTGTCATACGCACGTACACAGCCTCCCTTGCAATCTACGGAGGGGCAAGGGCAGTGATGTTTAAACCCGCGTAGTTTCATGGATATGTGTATTACAGTAAGTCAAAAGACAAGGTCATTGTTATTGTTTAACTTGTCTGTACCCACTTCATGGTGATGAAGAACTTTGTGCAGCAGACTCACTCCTCTTACAGAACAAGTTCAGAGGAGATCTTTTTCTTAAAACCAAATTTACTCTCCTACAATTGATAGAAACTCAATTATAACTACTGTATTGTATTTTAGTCTTCCTATGTCACATCATGTGATCATATTTTTTGAAAAATATTAATGGCAAATTTTGATAACTTCAGTCTTTTTTGTTCACACTACAATCGTTTGAAGACATGACACATTTTATTTTAATTTAAATGGTGGCTCTTATTTCTAAAGCCTCCTTTTGACTGCGTAATATGTGAATCACTCAGTTTTGGGCCAGGCCATAAAATGGGAATTCAGGATCAATCCTTTTTAGTTAATACTGTAAAGTATGTTATTCTTTATTTACTTTACATATTAATGCCATTTACATTTTAATTTAAATGTAATTTAAAAATTCCCTCTAATTAGGCAATGTAATAATTTCTTATTTTATTTTTATTTATTACTGTTAACCAAAAATGATAATATCCATAGGTATGATAACGGTAACCAACCACAGACGCCACCCTTAAACCCCACCAGTTTTCCAAGTCTGTATGAGAGACGCAGTTCTAATCAGGAGCAGTCTGCTTATGCCTCTCCTCACAGGTAGTGTATTTGATATTATATTAATTGTTTTCTTATATTTTTACCATTGAGATCAAAGTTGAGAAAATTTTTTTTTTCCTTACTGTATATGTTTATTGAGCAGTACTGTTCTGTACATCTTTCCCCTGGTCACTTTCAGACTGTCTCAGTGCTTCCCATAATGTTATACTAAGCTATATTATAATTTGCATACAAACCACTTGTAAAATATTCTCACCTGAACAGAGACTACACACTAAGTGGCAGTAGCAGTCCAAACATGAGTCAACCATATAGAGCACGTGCTGTGTCAGAGAGCAGAAGAGACACCAGAGAATCCTCCAGTGCTCCCTATGAAGCTGAAGGAAACAGGTGGATGCTCATAATTTTTATCTTAATTTTATATATTTTATTTTTTCTAAATAATTAGTAATGGTTCTATTGCCCATAATTTTCATTAGGACATATCATATCAGTGTGCTGTACTATACACAGCTGATTGCTTGAGCATAAAAACTATGTGATGCTTCTTATAGTAACACTTATTTATTCTTTTATTTTGATTAAAGACTTTAATTTTTGAAAATATAATTCACTGGGTGAACAAACGAAATCCAAACATAGACATGATATAATGTAATCTGCAATTATGTCTATTTATATACCATGTCTTTTATTTGAGATCTTTTTACTCTTTTCCAGGTACCACATCAGACATAGTCCATCGGAACCACATTTAGTGAGACAGTCATCATCTCCAGGCCCCCCATCAAGCTCACCAGCTTACCATGACTCAGCCCCAAGTTTACCACAGTTAGCACGGCCAGATCTCACCAACCTAAACCGAACTCAGGCATCATCTAAACCTGACCTCACTTCACACTCCAAGCCAATGGATCGACCAGCCCTAGTCAGGCCAGCACCACGTCCTCATCCATCCCAAAGTCCAGAAATGTCATACATGGGCACTCCTAAGACAACCAGCCCTGAAATTTCCTACATGGGCACTGCAAAGGAACCTCCTGATTATGGTTATCGTCAGGATGGTTTGAAAGATATAGAATATCCATCTGCATTTTCACACATACCACCTGATAAGAGTATTAACTTTGATGACTTTTTGCCAGTAAGTTTCAGTATGGATCGTGTTATTGCACAAGGAGTTTACCATAGAATTTTAAATCCTTTGGTTCAAATATTATCATTAATTTTGAAGACACTTTGTGCAGTATTATGGTTTTACTTTTTTTAACAAAAATCCTGAACAGCATTTTAAACATGGCTATTAGAATTTATTTAGAGTGCAATTTTCACTGGTTACAGGATTTCCAATTTCTTTATATTTTTAAGATAACAGTATGCTGATTTAGTTATTGAATGAATGATGCAGTTCCATGTATATATCCAAATTAGGAAGGTAGAAAAGCACTCAATTACTAAATGGGACATGACCATCAAGTTAATAATGGCTCATCATTATCATTATCAACATTTTACAGTCTTTTTCCATTCTTGCTTGGGTTAGAGATGGCAAAGGATAAAACTAGTAAAATCCCAGAAGATGAGTAAAATAACAATAGCATTGATATCTACAGTAGATGTGTAAAAAATGAAGATTGAATAATGTAGTTGTCTTTTGTATAACATACAGTAAAGTCATGAATGAGGGTCCTGCAGGATCCTTAACAAAGCTTTTCATTACCACAGGGCTTTGACTTCTTTAATTAATGACAGATGTTGTGAGAACTTTAAAGGTTCTTGTTTTAGTCTTTTTTTGTATATACAGTATTACTATTGAATGGTGTATCATCCCAGAGAAAGGGTTTTCACACCTCAGACAATGTCTTGAAAAGTTATTGGTGAAAAGATGGCATGCAATTGGCTTATCAGTTCCAAAGAGACGATTCTACCCATTATTTTTGCCCCCCAGAGCCCCTTGTGGGTCGATGACCTATGCCTGGATGGGTTATTTCCTATTAAAAAATAAAAAGTGGGATTTTGTATTGATGTACATACAGTAGTATAAAAGTAAAAGGACAAACGAAGTAGAATATTTTTATATAAATTATTGTCTGTGCTTAATGTATAAAAGCAGATTTACATTATTTTATTGCTGACTGTTCTGTCATTTGCCCTCATTTACGTTTTCATGGTTCATTGAGATTTGATAATCTTCCTTTAGTACGATAAAAAAAAATAATCCCATCCTTTGAATTTTGTAGATTCATTAAGTAATTTAGACTGATCTTGATTTTTTGTCAACTACTTGCTTGATGATAATGATGATGTCTACTACATCCTGTACAGTTCCTTGAAAATAAGTATGTTTTACAGTGTAATAATTTTTACAATATGTACAAATTTGATTTTTTTATTCTTTTAACAGAATAAACTGAGTAGCTTGGGCTTAGATGGAAGTTCTAGCTCTGGGGGAAGTGGTCTAACAGGCATTGCAGGCAATGAAATGTCTGAACAGGAAGTGTTATCCAGCATCATGCGTGGTCACTCCTCTATGATGTCTGTCATAACGGCTCGATCTAGGGGCCTGCAGGTTACACACAAGTTATGGCAAACAAAAGATCTCAAGACTGCTGTGGACCACGCCCTCAACACAGGTGACCAGGCTCTTCTCGTGGATCTCTTGGGCATCATTAATCTCAGACCGTAAGTCAGTCTCTTTTGGTCACTTCATCTCACTTTTAGTAAATTTGTGTTTTGCATGTCACAATAGTATCTAATAATTCATTGGAATAATAATATTCTCTAGAAATTAGTAGAAAAATAGGAAATATGTATCACTATCCCTTAACTTTGTCAGTTCTCTCATTGTTTTTTACATCTACATACTCCTTGTACTGTATATGTTACTGAGACAAATGTTTAGTCCTTTCACAGATTCTTATCTCCTTGTGTTTGTTATTTGAACCTGTTTTACTGCTGTGATAACTAAGAACAGTAGAATCTTAAGATTTTGTAATACAGGTACTAGGAACCAGATCCACGTTGTAATAATGTACTGTACTGTATTTTGTGGAAAAACAATAAAGATTCTGTAACTACAATGAGGTATCATATTTTGAGAAGCAGACTATGTATATTATTTTGTTTTTGCAGGTCAATATGGAACCTGGATTTATTGACAGCTCTCCTTCCTCCTGTCAGTTTACTGCTGCAAAGTAAATATGAAACGTAAGTAGAATAGTAGTTAGTTGACTCGTGCAATATAAGAATTTTATAGTATCCTGGACTCGGGATTTCAGCATACAAAGCAGCACTCTTGATAGGAAGTCAAGTTCGGTTCCTTTTGGCCAAACTCATCGGGACCAATAATGGTTCAGATACCTGGACGTGACTAAAAGAACATGTAATAATTAACGTTAGGTCAAAATTTGGTTCAGCGATAGCATGACTGAATGGGAAAGGGAAACAATTGAGGGTGAGGTGGTCTGTGGAATGGCATGTTGTCATTGTTACATGAAATGAAACTATATATGTACTGTACAGGCAGTCCTTGGGTTACAAATGAGTTCCGTTCCTGGGGACGTTCTTAAGTTGAAAATGTACGAAGTTGAAACACATGCTACGTGCATACCGTACTTACAGAACAATATTTAAAATCCCACTATATCATAGCCTAAGTCCTTATACAAAGTCCTTATACAGTATGCATCTAAAATCACTTAATTTAAGAGAAAAGAAGAAAGAGAATGACAAAATACAGTAAATGAAAGTAAAAAATAAGTCATCAGGTACAAAAAATACTATAAATTTAATGTTTAATCTCGTTCATAAGTTGGACGTTCATAACCCGGGGACTACCTGTAAGTTGTGGAATATTCATTACAATACTCTACTCTACTCTAATGTGGCTTAAAAGTAAAAAATATATAATATAATACAATAAAATAAGAAAAATGAAGAGCATGGGTGTGTATGTGTGGGAAGTAAATGTATGCGTGGACTTGTGGAGGCAGTGGGCTGTTACTGCATAGTCAAATCACCAGTTGCCACCCACCTGGCCCGCGCTCTCTCCTCCTAATTTGAAGTCACAGCACACACTCGCACACACGTCTCGGAGTCAACAGGTTGACTACCTGGCAGTACTGTGTTCCATCGCCCAGAGAATAGTTTGAGTGTGGAAGGAGCTTTTTTTTTTGTACATAAAATATGTGCTATTGTATTTTATGATATACTATGTATCAATTTTATTGTTTATCATAACATGAAATTAGAGCAAACATCTTCCACCAACCAAAAAGCCCGACATAGTTATATACAAAGCGGTTAGCGGTGGCAGACATGCAAACAAATAACTTCAGTTGCGTTCAGATTGTTGGATTAAATTAGAATTTTAACCAAACAGGAACGGGACCAAAAGCTTGGATACCTGAAAGATTCGGATAAAGGGAATTGCACTGTATTTTATATTTACCATTTGTTATATTTGGGCTCAGGAGTTGATCAGTTGTTTCCATCTTCCCGTGTGATTTTATCAAGATTTATCTTATCCACGTTGTCATTGTGGATTTACATGAAATATATATATATATATATATATATATATATATATATATATATATATATATATATATATATATATATATATATATATATATATATATATATATATATAGATATTACTTGTTTAGTACAAAATTTTGACAGCATTAAGCAAGTCCCTCATGGTCTTTGCCCTATAGTAAGATAATGGTCTCTCTATCCACCCCATGTTTTTTTTGTTGTAACTCAGGGTAATTTTTCTGAAACAAGGAAGAAAATATAAAAGAGAATGTAATTATAAATCAACTTAGGTTTAAACATGACTTGCCATGGAGGCTAAATCTTACAAAATAGTCAAAAAGAAACATATGCTTCTTACATTGTTGGAAATCATAACATACGTTTATGAATAATGAAGTTTACTGTTCTGATACATCTTTTTTGTTTGTAGGGATAATTTGTTTATGTTGCTGTAAGTAGGGGAGAGTTAATCACATTTTATCTTTAAGAACTTAGTGTTCTACTACATCAAATACCTGTACACATCTAGTGTCAATGCAATCCCATGACAGCTCAGACAGACTTTTCCTATACAAGATATTTATTTATTAACCATCTTTTAAATTGTTGCTTTCAAATACTTCTTTCTAGATCTTTTATTCTGCTGCCACTCCACTGTTCTCCCCTAATTTCTTTAATAATTTTATGTAGCAAACCCCTGTTATTTCACGGCTTGATACTTTTTTCATTACGAATACAGTACCGCAAAAAATATTGATACCCTTTAATTTTTCACATGATATTCATACAAAAACTTACTTCAAGGATGAATAAAACATGTTTACAGACTTAAAATGTTTTATTCTACTACTATTTAGTACTTAGTCATATTTCCCTTACATTTTATTACCAGTTGAAGTCTTTTTGGCATGGATTCTCCTAACATTTGAAAATACTGTACTCAACATCCATCTCAAACTCCCACATGAGCTTGATTTCCTCTTGTTGCCACTGTACAGTTGAAGTGTCCCGTGTTGACAGCTTCCATTTCATCTTGTGCCATACATTCTCGATGGGGTTTAAATCTGGTGAGTTCCCAGGCCACTCCAACAATGGAATAGCCCTTTCATGAAGCCAAGCTGTCACACTTTTTGACCTGTGACAGGGGGCACCGTCTTGAATGAAGAATGTTGACTGGTGAAGTCGATAATAATCCAATAAATGTTTTTCTAAGACAGTCTTGGAGCGATCAGAGTTCATTGTCGTCGTGTTTTGGGGGAGGAAGTGGAGGCCAGCACGACCATGTTTTCCACTGAACGCTCCCCACACCTTCACACTTGCAGGATGTTTCACGGTTTTAATGGTGTAGCGAGGATCATACCCGCTGGTGTTGGTGGGCCTTCTGACTGTTCATTTCCCTGCAGTCAGGATGCAAAAAGTGCTTTCATCTGACCACATTACAGAATTCCATTGTTCTTTGCTTCAGTGCTGGTATTTTCTTGCAAAAGCATTCGATCCGTGGGAAGTGGTTTTCGTGCAGCTTGATGGGAAGGCAGATGAAGTTCCTTCTGAAGGCGATGTTGAATTGTTCATTCTGATACGTTTTGCAGGAGGATGGGGTGTGCTTTCTTCAATGGTGATGCACTCATATTAGGATCTCATTATCTCAAGCTTCAGTAGCGAATCAGTGCATTTGGAGGTCTCCCTAGGTCTTCCTGGTGGTAATTTCCTTGGTGGAATAACGTTGCCGGGAGGGTTGTGTGTCGATCACTTGAGCCTCTTAATCGTTGCCATTCCTAGTCCTGTTCTCCTTGAAATTTCTTTCAGTGACTTTTTCCTCTAGCACGGCAAGGATCTGACCCTTCTCTGCCTCAGACATGTTTTTGGGACCCATGAATATAGTTTTGAAAGAAAATTTGGGCTAATTGTGGGTGTGTCTTTATTTGCACTCATCAGCTTGGTGAACGAAAATTAACGCACACCCTGATCGATAGCAAGTGGGGCACTGGCCAAGTTTCTCCCACTTCTATTTGCGCGGGAAACACCGTAGAGTTGCCAGATGTTATATATTCCCGCCTTGACAAATTTGGTGGGCTGCTTTTCTCGTGGTGAAAGCACGTATATAAACACAGCTAATTATGCAGAAGAGATCAATATTATTTCCGGTCATGGTATTTTATGACACCTTAACTTACTCCCATCTTAATCTTCTCACTCTTATGGCTTGTCAACTCTTGTTCCTTCACCAAGCTCATATTGTTAAATAATATCTAATTTCACCTCTGAAATGACTCACTTGAAACAAATTGTGCTTGGGGAAAAATTTTTGTGTCTTTTTAAACTCAATATGTATGGTTTAGAGCGAATGATAAAGAAATATTTGTGTATGGAAACAACTTTTGCGATGTAAACATAAGGCCAATACTGTACAATGGCTGCTGCGGTAGCAAAACTGCCGTTTCTTCCATGCCATGTAACTCATTTAATGATTTCATGTTGATTACTGCTGACTGGTGGTAATTCTCATGCATTACTTAAATGTTTTTCTCCTGATAGCATGGTGATACAATGAAACACTGCAGAATATTTTGGTTTTAAAAATTAAATTGTGATAAGTTGAACCTACAATACAAATTTGCGATAAAGGAAGACTATCCTGATTGAGGATATTTGACCTAAGTGGGTGGCTAGAAATATTTGGACCCCTTGTTGAACCTTTTTGATGACTGTAATTTATAGGCCACTGCAGTCTTGACAGGAACAGAGATTATGATCAGCTGTAATACTTCAGTATAACTATTCAAATTATAAAGGAAAGCAACACCATACGTACAGTACAGAATATTGATGCTTGTTATCCATCCACTCTGACCATATACTGTTCTCTATACTATAGTTTAAAACCAGTCACAACAATCAATGACTTTAGTCCATATGAACTTTATCCTTTATGAGTTACAGAGCAAATATCAAAAGTAAAATTGTTATGCACATGTTTTATTTTCATCTGTTATATACATACAGTGGTGTATATATTAGTTTTGGAATAATAGCAGTGATGATAAGAACATTTTGTGGTACCTTGATGTTTTGTTCCATAATGGATAAATATGGTAATATTGTGTGTGCACACAGTACAGTGGGGTATGCTATAACGAATCTAATTGGTTCTAGAACCTTGTTCGTTATAGCATTCGTTTGTTATAGGATTAATCCGTTCCAGGCCCCCAAATACAACCACTTAACACTGAAAAATATAATATAAAATTGTAAAAATTGTAAAAAGTACATAAATATGCATCTAAACCCCTGAAATAAAGAATATCATTAATATTTGTAATAATAAAACAATAAATTAGAAAAAAAAAATTAAATTATGTTCGTTGTAGGAGTTTCGTTCGTTATAGCATTCTCAATTTTATAGGTAAAACCGTTCGTTATAGGAATATTCGTAGTAGGATCCGTTCGTTATAGCATACCCCACTGTATACAGTTTTCCTAAATATATTCTTCTAAAATCAAGGTATCTAAAACAAAAATATCTGTCCACACACTGTGTGAAAAATGATGAGACCAGGGATGATAGTTATTGGGATATACATGTTCCTGCTCTGTATAGTTTAACATAAATAATTCAGTGTGTAATGATTTCAATGTAATTAATATGATGTTTGGTAACCAAATATAGTAGGATCAGTATGCCACAGAGCCACACATACCAACCCTCCCGGGACATCACGAGTTGTATGTAGCATTTCGGAAGTCATCGGACCCACCCTGGCAGATACTTTTTTGAGATACTGTACTCCACATCAATGTGTCTTTTATGTTGTAAAATTTGGTTCAGTAGTTAATTTTGAGCCCTGGATTATATTTATTTTTAGGTAGTGTTATCGAGAATCCTATTTCTCTTTGCATAAATGTTAATAAGATTTTTATTTGCATTTCTACCAGGAATCCCCCAATTTCTTATCAAATTTACCTTACTGTAGTCTTCTTTTCTACTTTTTAAGTCAAACTGCATCACACTATTTTTATTTTTTCTGGATTCTTTGGATTCAAATATTTTTAGTGGATCTTCAAATGTTTTCATTTCTACCTTTCCCTCTTTTGATTCAATTGACACCATCTTGTAGTATTGGCTTCCATACAAGGATATAAGGATTGCCACACCTACTTCAATTTTTCCCTTTTTAATTTTTATCCATTTCCAGCCACACTCCCAATCATTCATTCCTTTCCATATATGGTATCACTTTTCTCTCATCTCCTACACTACTCATAACACTAACCCCTGTACCATGTGCTACTCATGTTAGGTTACTATGTCGAGGTAGGTAGTGACTCCTTACCAATTGACTGTGTAGATAAGTGGAGGTTTTTTTTACATTTTCTCTTCCATTTTTACTTTCGTCCTCAGCATTACTGTAACATGACAGCTTATGAAAATATCACTTTTATCATTTCAGGTATTAACTCCATCTGTGATACTTTTAATACAGTATGAATTGTCTAATTATCATTCTACAATGAAAGTAGTATTAATTTCTCTAGAGAGATGCATGATTAAACACATTGAGCAGTTTCTGCCACCTCCTCCTATCATTTAGCTGACATTAGATACCGAGACATTTAGTGAAGAGTGTAAGGCCATAATTGAGGGATTAATTCATGATCCCATTTCATGGCTAAGCTCATAATTGAGTGACTGGGTTATTCAACTCCCATCACTGGGTAACATTGAAGTTGGGTGGAACTGAAGGGCCCCAACCTGGAGTCCAATATGGCCAGCCCAGTTGATAGGTTCAGTGCATTCATGCCATCATGATATGTGAATCTTTATTTTATACTTTAAATGGTGAAACTTGCTCCTAACTGTCCTCAGGGACTTGGATGTGATGAAAATGTTTACCCAATTAATGAATTAGTCTCAGTCAGTAATGTGTGAGGGTGTATAGTACTTGGCTTCTAACCCATGGACCTGGTGCTGTAATATGTAAGTTGTCTAGTCAAAGGTTCAGCCTAAACTAGGATTCAGGATCAATCCTATATTTTGTGAATAAATTAATTATCCCTACATTGAGTTCCACTTTACTCAATTTCCCTGCCTCACTTATGAAAATTATTACATCTTTTCACATTACAGTAGTACCCCAATTTACGCGGTCAATTGAACCCATGGGGTAACGCGGAAAGTGAAAACGGTGTAAAATGAACAACAGAACATATGGGATTAATTCCAATAGAGACTGGCCCGACCCCCAAACTCCACTTTTTCAGACACAATACCTACGTTGTTGTAAAAATAACATTTTAATTTTATAATGGTATGCACACACAATTAATAATTAAAAGAAATATCAATAATATTAGGTTTTTTAACACTTGCATTAGTAGAAAAGATGGCTGGGCACATGGGGATGGGGGGTTGGTTCTGAGGCAGAGGGCAGATTATTGGCCCTCACCTGTATAACTTATATCAATTGTATCACTATCCACCACATAGGTTTGCAGGGCCTCTTTTTCAAACCCCTCAAAGTCTATATAAGTCCATATCCTCACTATTACTGACTTGGGCTGGCTGTGGTGGGTGGCGGGTGAAGAACTCGGTAATGTTTTGATGACTGGGCGACCTTGTGCGCATCCTGCCCGCGCCGCTTCCCGTGTATATGAGTAGATGCACTGCGTAAAGTGAAAGTCCGGTTGTGGCGAGGTACCGCGTAAATGCAAAATCGCGGAAAGTGAAACCGCGTAAAGCGGGGTATTACTATACATTACAAAAATCTATTAATTATATAATAACTTACAGGGTCTAGTTATTAACTAACAATATTCTTTACTAATTTTTATGACTAATTTCCAGGTATGTAACTTGTGGATGCAATGCCCTGAAGCTCATGATCAAGAATTTTGCAGTCATGATAAAATCTAACATGTCTGGCCCAATACACAGTGTTGGGGTCGACATATCAAGAGAAGAGCGGTAAGTTTAGTAAATTGTTGTTTTCTTCTGTTTTAGAATTTGAGACAGTATTATTGAGTGATTAATATAAATGAGTTTGTCTCTGAATATTGTGGATCATATTAAAAGCAGAGAGAAAATAGAGTAACTTTTAATTCATATGCCCTTGTGGCAAAAAAGAATAAGCAGCTCAGAGAAGTGGTTTTGTTCCTGCATTAGATGTATGAGGGTGTGGGATTAACATTTCTCTCTGCTTACCAAGAGATGAAGTCTGAAGATGACAAAGGAGAAATGTTAAGAAGGGCAAAGGAAACCTACAGAGGATATCACAGCCTTTGGGGTTATGTTGGGTCCCACAGCCCAAACTCTGGTCACCTGTGTGGATGTCTGTCTCCTGTTCCTCCCCTTGTTTTATTATCACGTGTGTCAGCTATCCTCATGTGCCTGAGACTGGAGTTAAGTCTCGAGTAAAATCTTATTGGTAGTCTCACAGGTCATTCATGAGGCTACTCAGGCTAAATTGATGATTTGGCAGCTATTAATCTTTTGTTGAATTTCTAATAGCAGTGTTGGTTTGTTAACCCTTGTTTACAGTCGTCTCTCTGTGCTGAATAAAATTGTATGGCATTAGCCAAATACCAGTAAAATATTAAACTGACATCCCGTAATGAAGGGGGAAAATTGCAAGATATATTTAATTTGTACTGGTCACATATAAAAGTCCTACCAGTATACTTTTTTGATGGAGTACAAACAAACTTTTTATCAAATTAGAAATGGCAATTTGTCAGGTGAGAAGGACCTCCTCTGTAGCAGTAGAGATTTAGTTGTACAGGTAGTTCTGCTGTAACGCGATAGTAGTGTTCTTGTAAAACATCGTGTTATAGAAATTCGTGTAATAGAAATAACAGGGCTTATGGAGAAAATAGGGTTAGGTGCAGATTACTCCAAATCGAAAAAAAATTTTGTAGTTAGCCTAACACAAAGGATAGCACAGTCTAAATAAATGTTACATTCATATCTAATAATGAAATCATACAGTAAATGTTACACTTTACCTTGAAAAATATGAATATAACTTGATGGGGGAGAAGGGTGATGTTGAGGCTGAGGAGTCATGAAACATCAAGCTTTTCTTCAAGTGTTATAGCCTTTCTTTTACGATCACCACCGGAAATGCGATCACCAGAGTGCTTCCCAGAGATATTCTTCTTTTCCATAGTCACAAAATTGGAGAAACAGTAATCAGAATTCACTGAGGACACTTAAAAACTTCACGTGTTTCAAACAAAGTGTGGAGTAAACAGAGCGCGCGGGTCTAAAACGCTATGTATTTTGTTTTTCTCTTATTTAAAATTTTACATTTTACATATACTGTACAGGTATACTGTATACATAAATATTACATAAATTATTTCTGCAATTCTTCACAAACAAAACACATAAATCAATTGAACATGTGATGTCGAACGTGAACTGTAAACACTGCATAACCCCGCGCCAAGCCACGATGTACAGTACACTTTAAACGCTACTTATTCTGTTTTTCTCTCTTATTTAAAATTTTACAATTTACATATACTGTACAGGTATTTCTTCACAAGCAAAACACATAAATCAATTGAACAAGTGATGTCGAACGTGAACTGTAAACATTGAGCCAAGCCACAACACTGTACAGTACACTTTAACACTTTAAACGCTACGTATTTAGTTTTTCTCTTATTTAAATTTTTACAATTTACATATATATATATATATATATATATATATATATATATATATATATATATATATATATATATATATATATATATATATATATATATATATATATATATATATATATATATATATATATATATAAGGAGGGTTATAAGTGTAAAGATATAACCACTCGTGTGGGAATAGGAGTGCGGCAAGTTCAAAAGTGGATCAAGAAATTTAGAGACGGCGGAGGTGAGGATATTCCTACCCCCAAGCCTCGCTCTGGTAGGCCAAGGAAAATACAAAATCGTACATCCAAGGTTATAAAGAGGCAGTTGGATAAAAATCCAACACTCACAGCTCGAAAACTGAAGGAAAATAACCCTGCACTGCTCCAGGACGTGTCTGTAAGATGTATTTCTGATCATTTACTCAAAGATTTACAATATCGCAGTTGTTGTGCTAAAGTTCTTCCCCTCTTAAGTGCAAAAAATGTACGGGATCGCATTGCTTTTAGCAAGAAATATAAGGATTGGACCCTAGAAGACTGGGAACAAGTCTTGTGGAGTGATGAGTCAACGTTTGTGGTGTCGTCTGGCTGCAGGTCCAAGCGTGTCAGGCGTCCCAAAGGATCGGACCCAAATGACCCCCGCTACACAGCTAAAGTTGTAAAGCATGCTCCAAGTGTTATGGTGTGGGGATGCTTTGCATTTGGTGGAGTTGGCAATTTAGTATTTTTTGAAAAAAATGAGAGTGTAAATCAGCACAGTTATTTCGAGTTATTGTGTGATAACCTGCCTGAAAGCTTTGAAAAGTGTAACGCTAGCTGGTTTATGCAAGATGGAGCTCCTGCTCACACAGCTCGATCTATTATCCAGTGGTTAGAGGACTGTGGTGTAGATTACTTCAAAAAGTGGCCTGGGAATTCACCAGACCTAAATCCCATAGAGCACGTGTGGCATATCATTAAAAAAGAGCTTCAGGATCGTGACGCTTCGACAGTAGCGAAGCTAAAAATAGAAATACAGGATATTTGGGATAATATCATTCCCCAACACGTAGAAAAACTGGCAAGATGCATCCCACAACGTTTGGAGAAGGTCATCAAGCTTAGAGGAAAATCGCTTGGCAAATAAGGTACGTCATGAGCCCTTTAAATGTCTATTTAAATGTCACAATTGTTTACATTCGTCTTGCGCCCAAACTTTCCGCTACCACTGTAGGTATATGTATACATAAATATTACATACATTATTTCTGCAATTGTTCACAAACAAAACACATAACTCAATTGAACATGTGATGTCGAACGTGAACTGAAGCCACAACAACCGTTCGAGTGGAATCGCGTTAGAGCAAACGAGTTCGCGTTTTACAAATATCGTTCCTCAATACATAAATCGCGTTGTCAAAACACGCGTTATAGCAGAACTCACTGTATATACAGTCTCTCCTCGACTTACGACAACCCGGACATGCGACGGCCATGGACGTATAAAATATTTTTCACATTACATATTTTTGAGTCCCGACGTTAGTGATCGCGCTGTGTACTGACAAAATTTTCTTTCGTAATTCCCATTAAAATGGCTGGCAAGCGTAAAGGTGAGAGTTCTCGTGGTGCTGAGAAGAAAAAGAGACACCCTTTTTAGAATTTCTATGTATTATTTTCGACTTACGACCAATTCGACTTACAACCTGGTCGTCAGGACGGAACCCCGTCATAAGTCGAGGAGAGACTGTACTGACTGCACTTATATACAGTGGTCCCTCGGTTAACGAACACAATTGGTTTTAGAAGGTCGTTCATTAACCGAAAATTTTGTTAACCAAATCCATTGTTTCAATGGGATATTGGGTAATTGGTTCCAGCTCACCGAAAAGTACATACAAAGTAAAAAAAAATGCAGTAAAGTACACTTACTTTGAGGTGTGTATGTACAGTAGAAGGCTCCTGGTTGATGATGATGATGATGGGAATTAGAAGTGGGGGTGGAGGAGAAGGGAGAAGAGAAGGAAGTGGGGATGGAAGAGAAATCACCCCATGCTTGATGCTGTCATTTCACCAATAAAATTTTAAGTTCACTAGGTGTAATTCAAGATTATTTTCTTTAAATCAACACTGCACTGCACTATTTATTGTCAATATGTTAAATAAATTTCAGAATGACTAATAATTGTACTGTAAAAACGTAAAAATACTCTTGTGTTCAAGAGACCCACAAGCAAGATGTTTCCTCCACTGAACAGAGACACAAACTGAAGCCTTGGTGGGTGAGTGAAGTGGCTGATGGGTGCACCAAAAACTAGTTCCCTGTACTGCAATTATGTTAAATAAGTGTTAAAATGACTAAAAAATTTAATATAAAACTTGGAAAATTATTGAATAGTACAACCTTCTTGATATTTACTCCAATTTTAATGAATGTAAGCCCTAGAACCGATTTCTGTATTGGCAGACTAATCTTCCAGCTGGTGAGCAAGCCAAAACATGTCGAAACGTTTTCGTAAGAATTTCGTTAACCGAAATGAAGATTCTTATGGAAGGTAATTCTTTAACCGAAATTTCGTTAACCGAGGCGTTTGTTAACTGAGGGACCACTGTATATAAAAATAAGAAAAATATTGGATATAATGTTATACCTGAGCCGAGGGGGTCTAGTGATATCCACAGCTTGTACCCTCTTTTCAAAATGCCTTCATATAAATAACACTCTTCACCATTGATTGGCTGGCTAGCTGTTTGAGTGGTTGGCAAGTGATGATCATGTACATGATCTAGAAATTAGGTAGTAATGTACTAAAACATGTTGTAGTGTGGGTGAAGTCTGTCCTTAAATCAGCTCTCACTTGGTGCTGTCACAATATACTCTGGCAAGTTATTCTAAGAATTTACAACTCTTACTGTCTCCGCATTCTTTGGCAGGTTATTACAACAGGTCATAACTTTTACTGCTACAAAATTTTCTGGCAGGTTCCAAGAGTTCACAAATCTTACACAAAAGAAGTTAGTTTTGACAGTTTTCTGTACTGTGGGATCTTTAGCTTGAGGCTGTGACCTCTAGTGTAAGAAACCAAATACAATATTGAAAGTGGTGATCTGTAGCAAAGGGCTTAATGTTTCATTTCTTTTAGAAACATTAGATATTTTAAATGTATATCATCAAATACCAGTATTTTCTTAAGCTTTAATATGAGTAAGACAACCAACAAGCTGAAGAACATCTAAAATTTCCCCCACCCTCACTAGATTGTAGCACTAGCCAGCAGCATTAATGTTGATCACTCAATATATTACACCCAATGTTTTATTTCTCCATCATTCACTTAAAGTCTGAACAACTGCATGAAATTAGTGTTGAAGTGGGAAAAGGTTATCTTAAATTTTTTGGTATTATTGGGGCTGCGGTCCTGTACTTTATATTTCCTATTGAAATAGCACATAGAACGTTATACTGAAATGTGATTGGTAAGTGCATGATTATTCGCAGTACCATTTTCACGCCTTATTAAGGATCTTACTGTTTTGATACTTTTTAGATTAAATTTAAAAAGAAAAAAATTTCTGACTTGATCGTTATCAAGATGACTTTACAGTCATTTCGTTTATTTCATAATTTTCTAACTTTGCATTGCAGTTTTTTTCATGGATTTGGGATATATTGTAATTTACATTTTTGGTTTTATGTAAGCATTTGTTACTGAATGAAGAGGTTTAGGATACATTACTCAACATGCCCTTTTTTTATCCTTTCTTGATGCAAATGATGTACGAGACTTTTTTTTTCCATAGGTACAACAAATGCATAGAGTGCTACAATCATATGATGTCAATACGAGCCTTCCTTCTCAAGCGACAGACTGTCCCTGGCAAGCTAGGACCCATGTATCGGGAGTTAGCCATCCTCATGCAAGCCTTTGAGTAGTGCTGACATATTATTATGTATTACTGTGAAAAGTAATGTAAGAAAAGGAATGTTGAGGACAAGAGACAGTAGTCACTGTGTTGTACATGTTGATGTCTCCTTTTTTTCACCTCATATAAAAGTTTGATGGCCGTAAATAAACAGATTGTGGTAATTATACTGAACAAATCCCATGGGATTCATAACAAGAGGTAAAAAAAACCCTAATGTAATAGCTATTATACAGTGCTCTTGATTTTGCACACTATATGTGAAAAATAGGTGCTTAAGAAATTTATTAATTGCTTATATGTGATGAAGAATTACATTGATTGGATACAAAGAAAGGATTGCAATGGACAGCATAGCTGAATTTGTGATCATTAAACTAGCATGATGATGGGTCACCTGTGGTTGATCTGTCTCATATGTTTGGACGGCTTTTGTTTCCTGCCTCCAGTGTACGTATATGCAACAAGGAAATATAACAGTTTTCATATAAACTTTGTGCCTTCTCATTTCTTACTCTGCCTTGATGTGATAGTGCAGACCAATAGTCTCATAAAATATTAGGTATCATCAACAAGCCAGAAGCATTTCCAGGTACTTTTTTTTTTTTAAATTCTTCAAGTGTTGCAGTATGATAACTGTAATATTGATGGGATGGTATATTATCATTCTGTGTTAGGGATTCTAGAAGACTCATTTTGTTTCCAGATTAGCAGTTTTGAGGTTTACTTTTACATTTAATATTGTAAAGTGAGTACCACTTAAGGTTCACATTCCCAGGAGCCGGACAGTTTTTTGTGTTATGTATCATGACTTGCACAGAGGTGGTTACTTTGCATTTTTGACTTGCAGTTTGATTCCTTTTTAGTTGGAAGTTTCAATCTGCTTCGTGACAAGCTCTGTGAAGGACAATAGTGTATTATAATTTTTGTTTGACAAATTTAATGTTTATATTTCTGTCTAAATGACAGAAACCAGCTTACTGGTATGAGACCAGTAAGCAGATGTAAAGGCTGTATAGTGGCTAGTTATATGCAGTACAGCAATCCTTGGATATAATACACCAATATTTAATGAGCTTTTATATAATGCAGGAAATTAATTGCAGCTCTTCTCAAGGTAAGGTAGTAAGCATATTGTTAATATTTTGTGGCCAGCCTACCCAGGACCCCAGAACAAGCAGAGACAGCAACAATGAACATGGATGAAAAGATTGCCTTCTGTTGAAGATTACTTCCCTACATATCATAGGTATCTTAAGAAGGGTTCAAAAGTGGATGGATTACTCTTATCTGTGTGGGAATATTTTGAGATAATGCACTTATTAATTGCATTTTATATGTAAACAACCATGGACTGAAAGTGCACTGTAACTGCCCATTTTTCAGATACAGTAATTGATAGTACAGTTCAAACCAATTGGAGAGAAGGATCAGGTTCCCTTAACTAATATGCTATTGGTGTTCTGAGTAACTGAATTTTAAAGATTAGTTCTGTTTCAGAATAATCGGTTTTTTACATACAGTACTGTATGTCTACTCTGAAGTGACACTCACTTAAATTGAAATCTATATGAACTTAATCTTATTGGGTCCATCCCTACTTTTAAGGAAAAATCTGCAAAACTTTTTACTTCTCATATAGTAAGTCATTAACTTTGTTAGTTCATATCAATGTCACATGTTTAATTACTCTTCCAACAGATAATTGGAAAATTAATAATATGGATGAGAACTGGGTCATCACACATTCTTCTAACATTACTCTGCAGATTGTGTACTTTGACTCATTTTAATCAATTTGTCTGTGTGTAGTATTTCTCCATTTCAACAGCATGCATGGTAGGGACAATTGGTGGTGTAAAGTGAAAATGAGTGCTTAAGCTTGCAATCTGTGATGGTAAACTGAAAGTAGTAGAACGTCTCCAGCTTGGTTTATTCTGTACCATCTGAACCTTCCCGAGACATAAGCCACTATCCCTTCACTCTCTACACCTTGATCTTGTGGGGTATAAACAAGTTAACTGATGTAGTTTCTATTTTTGGCATGTTAATATGTCAGGTATAAATGATTTTGACTTTTCATGGAATGTGGATGAAATAAGAGTTATTGATGTGGTATGTGTGTGTGTGTGTGCTTCATCAGGGATGATATTATAAATGTTGAGTAATCAACCTTCAGTACTTGTATGTACAGGGATCCCTCACTATACGAATGGGTTACGTTCCTGAAAATCCATTTGTTGAGTGAATTTTCGTATAGCAAGTAGATGAACACTTGGGAAAAATAGAGTTCGGTTCCCAAATGACAAGAAACCACCAATATCATACCACAAAAACGTGAAATTAGCTCATGAATAACAAAAAAAAACCTACCTATCTGGTGATATATAGTACACAACTATTGTAATTTACTATATATCACATTAAAAACGTTAATAAAATACTGTATAACTTCGGTACATTACCTTATGGGAGGGCTGTCTGGGCTCACCACAAGGGGGTGAGGAGGGGTGGGCCAAGTAAGGAGGAGGGCTGTCCACTTTATCACTGCTGTCTCAAGAGTCACGGCCTCTCATATTTTCTTCGGTTTAGTACGGGTAGCTTGGATGCCATTACGAAAGTAATAATGAAAGAATGGCACAAATTCACACATAAAAAGAAATCACTTCACACACAATGAATGACAGAAGGAAAGATGTCTCTGCACTCCCGTGGCGTGTGATTTGAAATTATTGCTGGGAACCAAATTTGTATAAATGGGGGAAGCTTTTGAACACAAAAAAGAGGTGAAAATTTGGGACTTTCGTATCAGCAAATTTTTATATCTTGAATGGTCTTATAGTGAGGGATACCTGTATTATTGGAATAAAGTCAAATCAAAAAGGAAACAACATTAAAAACTAACCAGAAGAGGTATGAAGATTTGCGGAGAGTAAGAAACAGTAAGTCCTCGTTTAACGTCATGGTTCCATTCCTGAAAACTGCGATGCTAACGGAATCAACGTTAATGGAATCAATTTTCCCCATAAGGAATAGATAAAATTCGGGAGTTACGTTCCCCAGCCTCCCTTTGTCCCGTAAAATACATTACATATACAGAAATTCAATGGCATTTTTATAGAAAATAGTATACCTGTATATATAAATAAAATAAATTTTGTATTGTACTCACTGATGGACGGAGGTGGTGGAGTGAGTGTGTGGTGGGTAGTGGGGAGGAGGAAGGTGGCAAGTTACTGAGACCTGGCGGGTGGCTCCTCCTCCCGGTTTAAAACCTCCATTTTCGTAGCAAGGCTAATTGGTCTTACATTGCTTCTTCACAACACTAGTATCAGTAGCACTTGATGGGCGCTTAGAAACCATTTTGAATGGTTAGAGTACAGTATTAAGGGCAAAAACACTTAAACACTCACCAACGCTGTGGAAGCTTAACAAAGACTGGCGACGCTTGGGGATACCATGACGCTCTGTGGGTGCGAGCGTAGTGCACTAAGATGAGAGAGGGTGTAGCGCCGTACAAATTAGTCCGTGACGACGACATACTGAATCGACGGGATGCTATCCGAATCAAGGGTGTCTAAAGAATAGCGATGTTATAACGAAACAACATTAAACGTGGACTTACTGTACATGCATATGGCATGGTTTACGAGTGGCTGGGCTGACACACACGTGAGAGTCACCTTAATGTCACCCTGCTGGTGTGATATAATAATAGTCATGTACTGAAAATAATTTTGTAGTAATGATGACTTTGGAATGTTTCAGAGAAATTCAAGAAGTCTCAAAACCAGACATGTAAAATATGAAGGTCATTGGTGCAAACTCCAAACTTCTTATTCTTTGTGGCATTGTTCTGTCATTGTTAGGCGAGTACAGTTGCATAATATTACAATATAGTATCTGTTTTAGTTATTATATTATTAACTGTATCATAGCACATAGGTATGTCACAGAAAACAGGGCCATGCAACATGGACGGAGTTTTGGAGGAAAGGGGGTGTTAGGGAGGGGGCTGTGTTATATTCAGGGATTACTGTATTTAATACCAGAACTATCAAGGTCATTGAAATGTAGTAGCAGTATAGAAATATCGGCCTGTAAGACACCAGTATCTCAGGTCATGATAAATGAATAGTCTTTACCTGGTGTTGTAATCAGGAGTTGAACCATCCTTGTAACATATCCCAGGCCCTAAATAGGTAAGCCAGTGATGTAGGAATGACTGAAGATGGTTACTCCTTGCGGTAGTGGAGTTACATTGCCTGCCTTGCTTTCTAGTCTTGGCCCTAAATTCTCAGAATAACTTTTGAGCATAAATAAAATATACCAGTTGGGGCTTTGTGAATGTCCTTATAAGGAAGAGGTCTTTTCCATAATCTCATATTTTTTTGCTCAAACCTAGATCCGTTTAGGGTCAGTGTCAAAAAAAAAAAAAAAGTAAAGTTATCAGTTAGTGTTCTCACACAAGAGGCACTTGAAACCAGAATAATGAATCAACCCAAATCATGTTTTGTGCTAGAACCATATGAAGTTTGCACACTTTTTTTCCTATCTCGGTAACTAACCTTAGGATTATTGTGTTCTGAATGTCATATAATTGGAAATTTAGTTTAGTTTTAGATTATGATATCTTAAATCAGTCAGGTCTAAGTTTTAAAAAAGTCAAAATTAAATCCTCACCACATTCCATAATTTGTGATAAAATTTAAATTACCATTATTATTAATGTATAACATTACTGTATAATGTAAATACTACTGACCCTAGGAAGTGTTGAAACACATGTGCTTTGCACTGGGGGATGGGGGACTAGTACTCCAACACTCGTAAACACACGATAGATAGCAGGATACAACACTCCCTACACACTGATTGGCTGAACGCGTAATTTCATGCCATCCTGCACAGCTGGTTGGCTATGTTTGACTGTATATTCGTTAGTCTGGCTCCAAGGGTCCCTCTCGGTAGCTCATCCACGTGCCAGCCTGTAAGGTAGGGAAACACTACCTTTTCAATAAGAATTTGGCCCTTATGCTAAGATGAAAAGCCCTTTCCTTACCATCTGATATGGTAGAGAAATACTCAGTGGACAAGTTTAAACAAAAATAGGGGTTTGGTTGATTCGTCACTGGCTCCGAGTGCCTCGTATAAAGTTGGGTTTTTTAAATTGAAAGGTTTGGAGACCTCAGCAATGGTAAAGTTCTTCACATGGTAATATTTTGTTTTCCAATACAGTATACAGGTAGACATATTACTTTTTTTTTTTTTTTTTTGTTAAATTCCAACATAAACCTGATTATGATATGTACAGAACTGAATTTGAGCAAATTGAGAAATGCCCTGATGGGTATGCCAGCCCTGGGGTTTAGTAAAGGTGTATGTTAAGCTCGCTTTCAGCCATTTATTGACCCAATCAGCAGTTGTGTGCATCAGTGGGTTATACTGTGTATTAATTGCAGTTTTATATATACAGTAATCACTGGAGAAATT